TTAATTTAAAGTCTCTTGACAATCTACTGAATGTACTCACTGCTGTTTCATCATTGAAATATTCAACGACCGAAAGTGTGTTGAGTGTTTATTTCAGTTAAAAAGGACCACTCAAAATAAAGTGTCACCAAAAAAAATGTATAGTTCAACTGAGGGACCCCAAAACAAACGGACATTTTATGGCTACTGTAAAAAGAAAGTTAACTTTTACTACTTTCTAGTAGTTTTTAATGCACTGTGGGAAATAGCAGAGTGTACTTTTGATTAGAGTGGATCTTATATATTGTTGTGGTGAGAGAAAACACTGTGTCTGTAATTTATATTTTCAGGTGAAGAGGCCACAGAGAGTCTGATGAACCTGAGCCCATCTGAACTCAACAACCTTCTCCTCCACATCCTCAGTGGCAAAGAGTTCAGAGTACTGAGAAGTGGTGAATTTATACATCCATCTGCTGATCTCTGTCACATATTGCCAACATATCCTATCAGGTTTCTGTTGATGTGCTATTACTGAAATTGTGTCTTGCTTGTGCCTCAGTGCGCTCAGCTGGAAATGTCATAATTCCAGTCATCTCCATACATGACATGATCAAATCTGGTTCTGCTAAAGATCAGATAAAAAGTATCAGTAAGCCAAAGCATGACATCAAGATGGTAAGAGCTGATACATTAATTTATATCACTCTCACTGATCTTTCAAAAAACCTAATATCTGGCTAATCACTCGTTTTGTATTTTCAGCCCTTATCAGTGCATTCCTTGGATCTTGATAATATTGAGTCAGGGGTGAGTAGTGTATGGAACCAAAAGCAAATAAAGGTTAATTTAACAATGTAGTTCAGAACCACTTAAAGGAACCAATGTAAATAATTCTTTGGGTGTTTTCTGCCATGACATTCTCTTAAAAAGTGATCATGAGAACCTCCTGTTGTCGTTCAGAGGTACAGACTGCCAAGCATTGAGCCATTTCAAAGTTCAGCAGGAGCTACAATGGTGCATGACCGCAGACAAGGCCAGTGGCTTCGCCGTAGACGTCTGGATGGAGCTCTCAACAAAGTGCCTGTTGGTTTCTACCAAAAAGTCTGGAAGTTCTTGCAGAAGGTTAGTACAACAATGTCATAGTGAGGGTACATATGAGTTCTGTGAGGCTAATTGACTCTAAAATCTTTTTTCCTTTGAATTCATAGTGTCATGGACTCTCCATTGAGGGCTGTGTCCTTCCATCATCCACTACAAAAGAGGTAATACAACATTTCAAGAATTTAATCCCTTTCTTTCCAACCAAATCTAAACAATAGAATAAGAAAACTGCTACAGTACTTTGAGAGTTTAAACACAAAAAGTGTGAACTTAAAATTATATAAAAATACATAAATATAAAAATTTGAATTACAGACATTTCACAGAAATCATTAGCCCTTCTTTAAAAGTCTAGAAGGCCTTGAGGGTTCATTGTATTTGATACATGGTAGTTTTGCTTGTGTTATTTGGCCTAATGAGTGAATGCGTAATGATCAGATTCTTTTTTGTAATATAAGAGTCATCTTTCTAAAAGCTTTCATTTCATCTTAAATATGTTATTTTTTTTTATTTGCCCTCATCAGATGACTCCAGGCGAGATAAAGTTTGCAGTGCATGTGGAGACAGTTCTGAACCGGGTTCCACAGCCAGAGTACAGGCAGCTGCTGGTAGAGACCATTTTGGTGCTGACCATGCTTGCTGAGGTGGACATTCAGAGTGTCGGGGGAATCATTCAAGTGGACAAGATTGTACAAATGGCCAGCAACATATTCTACAAAGACCAGGTTAGCCGTATATACACATCTGCATAAGGCACATCAGAGACCTAAATAATAATAATGTTTATTTGTAAAGCACCTTTCCGCCATGTAAAGTGGCTCAAAGTGTTTCACTGATGCAACAAAAGCCTCTGACAATAGGGCAGTGCAAATTAGATAAAGCAATTACATTACAAACTAAAAAAACACTGCGTAAACAACAATGAAACAATACAAACTTAAACTGTAACATTAAACATTAAATGTAAAAAACAGAACATTCTGTAAATAAATAATCACAGTAAATAAACTCTCACAGTTGTTAGAGCACTGGACATCTAACTGGTCTGCCACACTTCTTCAGCAAGATAACTCAAACAGCTCAGTTATTTTACATACACTATATTGCCAAAAGTATTCACTCACCCATCCAAATCATTGAATTCAGGTGTTCCAATAACTTCCATGGACACAGCTGTATAAAACCAAGCACCTAGGCATGCAGACTGCTTCTACAAACATTTGTGAAAGAATGGGTCGCTCTCAGGAGCTCAGTGAATTCCAGCGTGGTACCGTGATAGGATCCCACCTGTGCAACAAGTCCAGTCGTAAAATTTCCTTGCTACTAAATATTCCACAGTCAACTGTCAGTGGTATTATAACAAAGTGGAAGCGATTGGGAACGACAGCAACTCAGCCACGAAGTGGTAGGCCACGTAACATGACAGAGCGGGGTAAGCGGATGCTGAGGCGCATAGTGCGCAGAGGTCGCCAACTTAAATTCAAAACAGACCCTTTCTGCAGCTTCCGTATATGAACTGTTCAGACTGGGGAGTGAATGGCATATTAGAGAAAACAAATAAAATTGTAATAGTGTTACATATTCTGTCAAACAAGGAAAGGACCTAATAAGCCTTTTAGTGGACAACACTTAATCAATCCATATACCAAGGTAAGAGCACTAGTTCAATATGGGCACTATTTAGGCACAGAAGTGGATGCTTTTCAGTTTTTCCAGCAGAAGAGATGAAGAGAAGTGGCAAAATTGAATAACTGTGCTTACTTACATAGACGTTTAACGTACAGTTATTAGTAATACTTGATGTTTAAATATTTGATGTTTACAGTAACTAGAGCAGATCCAGGAATGTTTCCGTGCAGAACATCATTTATAATTAAACACAGCATTCAGCAACGTTCTACCAGAGAGGTGGCTTTTAAATCAATTGCATGCTTTCTGATCAAAGTCAAGAGGACAGGCTTAGTAAAACATGATACTTTTCACAGGTCAATGAAAAGAACAACACAACTCCAAAGAGCAGGAAATGTCATTTATTGCTCGCGATATTGCAGTAATCACGCTATGCTCAGGTCTAAAACCACCCTGAAAGGTACTAAAAAAGGTTATTCTCTGTGATGAAGGCCTGAAGGTGACTGTTTATCAGAGATTCTAAGACTTTACAAAGGTAGAGGAGCTTAGAGGCGGGTCTGTAATTGCTCAAATCATTATAATCTTCTCCTTTCTGAAGGGGAGTGATATGAACTTCATTCCATGATTTAGGGATGATACCTGAGATAAAATAAGACATATAGCAATAGATATATTGCTAATGGGTTCAGCTACTACATGTGCAGCATTTTGGATAGCTAGGTTAATTGCCCATCTTAATCCCTTTTAACCTTAGGGTTATGCAAGGTGTTTACAACTGAAAGCAATCCATGCAAGCTTGAAACTAACTCAGAACTACTATGAGTCAGAAGCAGGATAATCACATGTCAGCTTGTGTGCCAGGAACTAAACTACTATGGAGCAGCTGTACATGAGCCTTGGCACTGCCGTGACCAGTGCCAAGTATTAGTGAGAGGGGTATAAAGAGAGGGGTATCTACTAATCAGACAATGTCTCTTCCTAAAATGTCTAAACTCAGTTCAACTAGCAACAAGTTTTAATACCCAGGCCATGGCCAAGGATAAAATTTCTTTTGTAAAACTCGTAAAACAAGGATCAACTGTGTTTAAATGTCTAACTTATTAGAAGCATGCTTATTAGATATGAATGTAATATTAATATTAATATTAAATAAATTAGAGCCCAACCTAGATGAGGCATAAGGAAAGCCTTCTCTGTTTACTCTGATAAAAGCCATCAATAAAAACTTCAGAATGTGTAAAATTATTTAAAAAAAATCCCAGAACCCACCGTCATTAGTTTACTAATAAAGCATTTGAGCCATCATGTATGCATGAAGGATATACACCATTCATGATGACACTACACCATGAACCTTGAACAGATGAAAATTCAAGTGAAATAACCCCTTCAATGACCTAAGGTGAAAACACATTGAGTACATTTTGACCCAAGTACCTTCTTTATTTTCCTGCACTATTCAAAATAAAGGATCCTAAATGGTGCTTAACCTGAACGTAATACGGTTCAATGAAAAACAGTTAACTGGTATTAAGCCTTTACATCGTGTGAAGATTTTTCAAACAGTTGTGTACATAATTTACAAAAATGTTGATGTAAATATACATTGAAAGTTTCTTTCGGCAACCAAAGATTATTCTTCTATACCTTTGAAAAACCCTTTTAGGCACCTTTATTTTTAAGAGTGTCAGGCTAGTATGTTTGACATTTTGCACCAGAGATTAGAAAATATTAACTTTTTGTCACTTTTTCCATGATTTCTCTGTTGCAGAAGGACCTGGGAGCAGATGACAGTCTCCTGGAGAAAGATCAGTCCAACGGCATCTGCAGGTTACTTTATGACTGTGCACCCAGTGGCCTCTTTGGGAGCATGACCTACCTGTCTAAAGCTGTAGCCACTTATGTTGAAGATTTCCTGCCAAGCGGGGCCTGTGCTCTTCAGTAAAGTACAAAGTTTAAGAAGAATTATTCTGTTTATGCTTGCAAAAGCGAGTGGCTGAGACTGCAGAAACAAAATATCACATAATAAAGTTGCTGAATAATGGAACTGCCAGATAAATTCATGAATCTACAGTCTAAAGATGAGGCAATGTAGTTCTTAAATACAGATGCTTGAAAATTTTTAACTGCTGTGTTTTTTTCTCAATAGCTTTAAAAGCATTTCAGTTTTAAAGAAGGGTGCTCCTTAGGAAACATAACCATCAGTCTCTATATAGGTACAGTATTTATGTGTTTGATTACATTTAAAACTGAGTTAAAACTGGCTAAATATCTAATAAAACTCATACACGCACTGCTGTATTTGTTTTAATCCATACAGCCATACCTTTACCATACCTGAATGAAACATTACAAGTTACTGTATGCAGAAACAGCTTTAACTTGTAAGGTGAAGTCCAAAATGTTTGGGGACAAGACAAATGTACAAAAAGTGACCTGTACACATTTCTCCAAGACTCAAGAATTCGGGAAGCCAGCAACTGTGGCATGATTAACATTGACAGTGGTTGGTTCAAAACACTATTCAGGCAATGTGCATACAAAACCGTGGCTTGGTTTAGACATTATAAACATTGATTCAAGTGCGCACGATTACAACAATCACTTTTCCGAACGGGGGGCAAAAGGGCAGGGGGCTTGACATCATGACATTTTTTCATTCCACCGCAATTCACTATACACTGTCATTCCATTTGCATCAGCCAGTGACATCATCCAAGAGGGCCATCTAGAAACACTAGATTTGACACTTAAAAATTAAAGATAACATGTAAAATGACAGGACTATGTTATGTCAGTCGGGCAGGGTATGCTACAAACACACAGCTTAAGGGGAAAATGGCACATGAACATATCAGTCTCTGAACCATTTCTCATGTCTGCTTTGTCATATTTGGTTTTGGGTTGGTTGATGTTTTTCCTCTGGCGCTACTGTCAGTCCAGCGTTTTCCTCAGCGCTACATGAAGTGCATCTAGAAAAGAGGAAAAAACATGTTTACCTAAAGGGCTAATTCAATTAAATGTCTTTGTGATGGTAAACTTCTACTGATTGTATGTATAGCATGTGCTATTCCTGGCTATATTAGAGAAAACAAATATATTTTCCTCTAATGTGAAGGCAAGTAATATGCTACAAGTTAATACACTGGACAAGTGATGCATTGATTTTACTTGATTTAAATGTGTACCTTATTTCCACCTGAATAAAATGTACATATACACATAATACACATCAACACAATTATTGCCAAAGATACACCTGTGTCGATTTAACCCCTTAAATGGCCAGGGCCCACTGACAGGCCCAAAGCTTTATTACACACTTCCATAACCCAAGAATAGCTGGACCAGTTTGCAATGAAGTCCATGTAGTTACTGAATAACAATCCTTATTATGTAATGAGCCTGGGATTTTAATATATTTAACTCATGAGGCAATTAATTACACATTTAAATCAAGTCAACTCAGTGCACTGCATTCTCAGTCCACTGTGGGAAGCTGGTTTCTTTTTAGCATGTGAGTGCAGTACCTGAGTTCCAGGGACAGGAGTGAATGGGTTGGTGGTGCGAAGCACAGGCTGGTTGTACATCACAGGCTGGGGTGCCATCAAGGGGACTGAACCCATCTGGCCCATGGGAGGAGGAATCTAGGGGAAATCAAACACAGTTTTTGTAACACTGTGAAAATTAGAACCTATTGCACTGCAAATATTAAATACTGAAAATAACTGCACCTGAAGAGTTTGCAGTATATTAATTTGCAACAATTTTGGAAGATTTTGAAAAGAATAATAGCTGACATATAACACAAACACATTTTTATCTAATTAATCTAATCTAGATTAAGGTGGTATATTAATCATAGCACTGACATTTCTTGCATGTGTAAGGCTTACAAATTAAAGATTTTTTAAAAGAGTTCTAGCCAAAACCATGGGACATCAAACTAAATAGTTTACTGTTATCAAAAATATTACTGAAAATATTAAGTACTTCTTTTAATTGCCATTTCTGCAGTACTAATGTTCGTAACAACACATTACAGTATCAAAAATATTTAAGATAATGTAAGCAAAGACATACTGATGGGTGATTTTAAAACCTACCATCCCATATACAGGCACTTGGGGGGTTGTCATTGGAAATGCTACCGGAGCTGGTGCCTGAAACGTAAAAAAAAAAGAATTTATAAATATTCTATTTATAAATCAGTCCAAAGTCACTGACAAACTGCTGTAATATGCCCTTTGAATCAACTAATAAATGGAGACCGTACCACATAATACATCAAAAAATGGTTTCAAAAGAGCCTTACATAGCCAGTATAAATCATTCCATTCTGCAGCAAGAACAGAAAAGAGGAAAGGAAAAAGAAGAGGATTAGCAAGCATTGCACAGTTTTCACTTACACTGAGACGCATACAGATTATAAGCCTTTGCTTTCACCTATGCAATTGTGTCACAATAACCACATTCCAGGCAAGAATGTCTAAACTAACATGCAAAGGCACAGTCAGCTTTAAGGAGCGAATGCTCTTACCATTTGTGGCACAGGGATGGGAGCCGGGGCCAGGTGTGTGTGCCCCCACGGTGCAGTGCCACTCATGGCTTTAGACTGCCAGTGAGACCCTCCTGTGGTTTTCTTCTCCAGGTGAGTCCACTGCATCTCTGGCCTGATAAAGAGAAAGCTTGGAATAAATGGACTACTCCACCTAACAAGTTCAAACTGCAGTCTCACAGTAAAACAAACAATTAATTATTCCGACCTTATATATTTACAAGGATTGTTATGAACAATTTACATTCAAGGCATTAACTGAGATAGCAATCATTTAAAAATATACAAAAGCATCATTTATACTTCTACTAAGAGGCAGCCCAAAGTCTGAAAATCAGTATGTAACCTAAAGAACTATCAACACCGAAACATATGTTCTCTACAATTAAGTACACTTTTTTGGTTTAATGAAAAATATCATGATTTTCTGTGGGTACAATTGTTCAAAGCCACGTTTGCCAGTGATGCACTGGCTAGTGTCTTTGAGTTATGCTCAAAAATAGCTGAAATGAAAAGTTTCTGTAGTGTTGCGATTCTTTTGTTAGTGACAAAATAAAATGTTCAATAGTTTTTTAAATAAAATAAACACAATTAAAATATAGGAATAATCAGTCAAAGCAAAAGGATTTTAATCTAAAGTCAAAGTCGGTTAAAAGTCTGAAATGCATTTTCAACTCTGATTTGAATTTGGTAGAATTACCCAACTACATTCATTTAAACCTGTGCTGATGGTAAAACTAAATAGCTTAGTGTTTGTTTCTTCATATTCACAAGTCTGATTTACTATATCATCGCTGTCCTAAAAACCCATGTTCTCATATTACTTCTGTGGATTTTATGTGAATGCTGCTCCAATGTAAGTAAAAACATAGTTTTTTGAGAAATAATCCATGAATATGTGTTCTTTTGGATCTACAGATTCAGTTAGGACAGGATAACAAACCTATTTTCTTTTTAAATGCTACATTTTTAATGTGCCCTCTTGATCATAACAGCCAAGGGTACAATACAGTTAATAGATTACTATACAATCTATTGCTCGGTATATCTCAGCTTGTTGTAATGCATTTTGCGGTATTCTATGACAGAACACAAGAGATGTTTGAACATAAAGTAGCAGTACTTAAAATCCTTACTTCTTGGTCGGGGGTCCTCCAAAGTGCAAATCTATGAGAAAGGAAAAAAATTAACAGACACAAAGCATGTAAAATATAACACTGAATAAATAAAGGCAGAGTGAATAAAAGACTTACTGCCCACTAGGTTGGCCAGAGAGGAGTCCAGGTCATTAGTCAGTAACTTTCCACCATTGTGGAGTTGTGTGCCTTGACCATGGACCTGTGAAGAAAGAGTGGGCTTCAGCAGGGGCCCTAGAGGACAAACAACCTACAGCCGAACAGAGAAACAGAGAATAGGAGAGAGGAGACAAAGAGACACAAAGAGAGAGTGGTTACTTATGCTCTTCTCTCCACTTACAAGCTATTAGACTCACTCAGGCACTTTTGACTCACCCAGAGACAGCCCAATCAAGCAGAGCAAGATGCAAACGCAAAAAAAAGAAAAACAGAGTCAAATTATAGTTATCACTTACATTTGACAGAACAAGCTTTAAATAATTGGCTTTTTAAAAGTGAAAATTAATCTGTGACTGTGGGAGTTTCAGGGTCTTAGATCTCACCTCCCCAGCCACTGTTACTGGCAGGAAGGGTGGTGGTTTGAACAGGGGTGTTGAGGTTGTGTTGAAGGTCAAAATGATCACTGGTGAAATTGTGCACACTGTTGGAGATAAAGGATGTGGACAAATAATAATATTCAATTATTTGCATTTTGTGTCATTGCTAAACTAGAACATTTCTTCCCATAAAATTAGTATCAAATACTAACAAAATGCTAACATTCAATAATCAGGCCTAAATACGAGGTCCTAAAGCCATATACTGAACCGGCTATATACAGGGTATTATATGGCTAGTATACTGGGTTTCTTTTCTGTAATTTGTAGTTATATTGTTATTTTGTTAATTTCACAATTAACTTATGCTAATAACGCAAATAGAGATTTTGAAACTACAATGAAAACTGATATATAAATAAAGAATTTTATTTGAATTGCACCAGAAATAATAACTGTACCCATTCGTGATGGGTAGATCGGGTGGAGTGGAGAGGAGCTCAGTGGCACCGCTGCTGGTGCAGGTACTATTGGCACTGCCCACAGACTGTCCGCTGGGAGACACTGTTGGGGTCTGCATTCCAATATCTTTGAGCTGTACTCCCTGAGTGCAAGGATAAATAAAAATCAGCAAAAACAGTTCTTTTCAATTTCATTTTCCGTCTAAAAATGTAATTCACCTGCAAATATTTTACAGTCTAGTTCCAGAGAAGTAATTAAAGACATTTAAAAGAAGTTTGAAAAGCTAGACAGACAGACAAAAAGTATGGGTGTCTCCACCTTTGTAGGCTGTAATCTGTCACCCTCCACCTCCTGAGCCTGCTGTTTCTCATCCCTGCAGATAGAAAAGATAAAAAACAATGAGTGTCTGGAAGCACAGATGCAGACACTAATCTGAACAACTGGGAACGAGTCAAAGTTTCACATTTAGATCTGCTCCATAAACATCTGCACCTACAGAAGGACTTTAAGTTATGAGACTATTATTGTTGTTTTAATAGGAACATTTTTGTTCCTATTACAGTGTTCCTATTAAACGTTTTCACTATCGACACTGGAGGAACGAAAGTTGAGACTGCATAGCGAGGACCTATTTTGAAAAGTTACAAAAATACCAAGATACTTCAAGAAATTTTTACGATACATGATGTCACAATATGATTTTTTTTTCATATGATAAATTGTAAAAAATAAAATTGTAAAAAATACTATCAAAAACATTTCACATACTGCACTTTACTAAATCCAGTTAAACTTGACTAATTATGCTCTCTTTGTAATGAAAGATGCATTTGTATGTTGTTCTAGAAGTACTGATGATATTCACCACATACACAGAAAAGCATATTGTGATTAAAACTAATGATAATGATGTGCTGTTTTATAGTGAGTCATTTAAAAGCAGATGTTTTGTTTTAAAAGGAGCTTATATAATCACCTGCCAGTCCAATGAGGACAGTTTTAGTGTAAAGTACCTGTTGACAGTGGAGAGCTCTTTGATTTTCTTGCCTTCCAGAGAGGCCAGGTGTTGCTCAAGAGCTTGTAAGAGACTGCTTGGGGCCTGGTGATGATGTAGTTTGAAGACAAAAGAGGAAATTTTAGGTACACCAGGATATACGTGGACACAGAGTACAACACAAAAACACACAAACACACATTCGCCCATTCACACACATGTACACAAAAAGAATCAAACACATGAACACATATGCCTACTGTTACACTCAACACAGCACACATACAATGTGTGCAGAGGCACACCAAGAAAAACTCTCTCTCTCTCTCACTCTCTCTTTTTCCCTCATACACACATACACAGCAACATGTATAGAGTCACAAAAGGAAGGTCTGCATTACTGACAGAACCTAACAGTGTTTATGAGCCTCTGAAATCAAAGGGAGACAAAGCAAAAAGGATTCAGATAGGAGACGCTTATACATGCAAAAAATGTGTTATTTCCCATGCAAGCTTTTTGACACTTCATACACGGCTTGTGGAGCAAACTGAGGTCGAGGACCTCTCAAAGGGAGGGTTCAGAATATGAGACACAAGTACTGGACTGACCTACAAGAGGAACCTTTTCTGACCATGCAGAGGATTTCATAATGCACAGATAAAAAAGCAGAAACCTGTTAACCTTTGGATTCCACCTGGATTTCAGTTTTTATGAAATAAGATGAAATAAGCCAGTTTGTTTATTTATTTAATTTTTTTGGAGCTTTGTCTTTTGGAATTGTTCACTGAACATACGTATTTCAATCTTCAAGAAATGAAAACAAGCAAAAAAACATTTGGAAGCCAAAGGAGGTTCTCTCAAGAAAGGCAAATGCTGGATGAGAGCATGGCTTGTGCATTTAGCAAACTGCACTGCATTTTCCCCCACAGACCACAACCAATAAACTGTTTAGGCTGGCAAGAAACATTTACTCTTTGCAGGGATGGGTTCCGTTCTTACACAACATTTGCCTTTCAACCACTGGATGTGTCCACATTGCATGCCAATTTGAGGGAGGATATTCATGAATAACAAAAGAACAGATTTCTCAGACACATAGCTCTAAAGAAGAGACAATTCAAGGAGAAGCTCACTGAGAAATCTGGAAACATATGCGACAAAACCACAGACCGTTCAAAAAAGAGAGTAAAAAAATAGCGAAGAAGTTAAGGAAAGGGTAACATGGCTGTAGGAGTGTACAAAAGGCCATGATATTATGTCTCACAACCGCAAAACATTAATTCAACCTTAGACAGTTATTGTCAGTTCTGTCAGAAGAAGCTTTGTACTACTGATGAAGAACCATTTCTGATGAGGATATAACACAGGCCTTCTGAATACTGCTTCAGCTTAAGTAAACAAGGTACTCCTTCCAATTCCAAATGTTTTTGACATGGTTAGGTACCACTGTGTAGTATGCGAGCCCAACACCTTCAGGAGTCCCTGTCCAATGTAAATGAAAATGTCAAAAATGCCGAATGATGGCAAACTGAAGGGGGAGATGTATTGCCCAGCACCCCTCTGGCGTCGAGCATAAGTTAAAGGCCTATATTTGGCATGGCTGCTGACTATAAAGTTCAGATGGTGCCAGGCAGAGTTTTGTCCCCTGCTCCAGTTTTAAGGCATTCTTCCAGTTGTGCACATTCACTGCTCTTCCTGTAGCTAGTCAAGCACAATACCCTACCAGTGCAGAGATATATAGCAATGGTGAGTGCCTACAACTTAAGAAGCTAAGTGCTACACCACCAATGTGGTACTAGTCACAAGAAGCACGGTAAAGTTCAGCACAGTCGGCACAAACACCATTTAGCTATATATCAGTCAGCATTGGATTTAGAAGCAATCAGATTTCTCATGGGTATACCAGTAAGAAATGGTGGCTTGAAGAGCAAGCACTAAATCTTAATGAGACAGTACCGCAAACCTCAAATAGCCTTAAATGGCTTTCATTCCTAATAAAAACGCTGAGCTAATACACATGGTAATATTCAAGGCATAAGCTTTAAATGAGAGCTTCTCTGAGGTCCAAATAGAGCAGCTTTAGTACCCATTTACCTCGGATGAAAACAGAAAATGCAAAACAGCACATCAGATTCCCAGGGAGAGCGCGGGTATGGAGTAAGTTTCTGGAGGCCCCTATCCTAAAAGTCTGACAGATGAAGGGTAAATCATAGAGGAATGGGGGCTGGGGATGGACGTCTATGGGGTGAGGTGGTGATGAGAGTTTAGGGTGAAGCCACATGGGAGAAATTGAGATGAAATGTGCCACTAACCTGTGAGAGATCTGGGATGTCAACCTGATCAATTCCAACTTGCTGTGACACAAAAAAGGAAAGGAGGGAGGAGAACGAAAAACAAAATGTGAAACCAAAAAGGTAAAAGAAATAATAAAAAACAGAACAGAGGTATGTGGAGGAAGGAGAAAGAAGAATAAAGAAAAAGAGCCATTACTCCATGCAGTGTGTCTATGTGTGAGAGCGTTAAAGAAAAGATGGACAAGTGGATGTACATAGAGACAGACATCAAGGTCATGGAGGCTGGTTTCATGGATGATTAAACACTGAAATGTCACTTTAGGTCATGTGAACGGAGATGGAATATTCATATGACTAGGTGAGAAACATCCAAAAGAAACACACAACTAATGTTGACTTTGAAAAAAGGACAAGAAAAAAATGGCATACACACATTGTTATACAAATAAAGAAATGCGCTCTTAAAGTCAACTTTAGTTTGTTTTTGGATAGCACTGCACCCTATTCCTGAAGAGACAGATTACTCAGCCAAAAAAAGACCAAAAAAGGAAAACAAACTCTAGAAATCAAGAAGGATGTGCTTAGCATTTTTCCAAAATATACCTCCATAGATAGCAAAACATATGCTATATATAAAGAAAAAGAAAGGCTAAATTCCAGCCTGGCACAGTTGTCAAATATAGTGTTGTTTTTTTTTTATTTTGTGTACTGTCTCTCAATGTCTAAAAGTGCTAATAGTTTCAAGATGAGACCCACTATAAGTGCATCTTTATCCATTCACCTTTAAAATCCTTACTTTCATGTCATAAACCAATATTCAGTCCAGAGATTTGCCAGGATTGACAACTGTGCCCCGCATTTGGACTGCAAAAAAAAAGTCAGTGCACTGTTCGCAAATTTATATCAAAAGACTGAAACGGTTGGTCTTCATCTGAATAAGTAAGCACTGTTCTTATTGTTGCTGAGAGGGACAGATAGATTGAGAGACATCTTGCTAAAGCATGCAGTGCAGGCACCAGAACAGGCAGCATGAGGGGAACCTCTGATTAAAATTGAACCGAAAGGCAAGAGGGGCAGTCATCAAAAAAGGGCCTGCATGGAAGAGCCCAACCAACCCATGCATTAAGTGAATTCAGAAACATTTTACCTCTGCCACTTTGAGAAACTCTGACAGCTTGGTCATCCTGGTAAGAAACCTCTTGTATATTTCCAGGGCCTCTTTACACTGGTGCTTCTTCATATCAAAATATTTCTCTTTGAAGTGAAAAAGAGAGTTTAGTATAACAGCTCTTCACTGAATATTTCACACAACATTTCAAAAAAACCATGAGCAAAGACTGTGATAAACAGCAACCAAATCTTTGGCATACACCTAACAACCTAACAGCAACCTAGATTGAACTAGCATTTCAGAACAAAACCTGGCATCTCCAAAGTGCTAACTTCACAGGTGAAGGATAAGGCATATATCTTTTAATGGAAGTCAAAGAAACAACACTTTTTTTGCAAGTAATTCTGTATCATTTCTATTGGTCTGTTCTCCACGAAAGTAACACAATATAAAGATCAGCTGCTGTTTTTAAATCATTGAAAAAAATAAAAATAAAAATGACAGTGTCAGCAACGGTATTCTAGAAACAACGCAAACCACAAACAATGTACTGTATTACCTAGAAGGTTAATGACACCCTCATTGTAAGCAGCAAAGATGCGGATAGAGTCCTTGAAGAGCAGCATGAAGGCACCATTGATCACACCATTGGTCAGTTCATTAGAGCTGGCCTAGAGGGAAATTCACAGTAATATACACAATTACTCTTTAAAAGTGGTTCTTGCAGGGTTCTCAAATTTGAAGAGGTTGTTCTTTACAGCTATTAGCAGTCTTACAACCAATACCAATAATATATTAACATGTTTAAAATTCAATTTCAATATTTTTAAGGTCTTGTGAAGGGAGAAATGACAGTTTCCACTGCACAACAACATACACAAACTCAAATCTATTTAAGTCTATTTTATTGAAGAGTTAGGTAAAATCATGGATAGCATGGATATACACTTTGAGATATATACTTGACAAATACCAGTCACTAGCCCTCTTCTTTATTTCTCTATTTAGATCCACTAGCTGCTCTCTCTTTTCTCTGAGATATGTTTAAGCGTGTTTGACCTTATTACTAGTTTTTTAACAATTTTTTCTCCATTCATTAATGATGCGTTTCTGTTGTTTTTGTTTAGCAGACCATTCAGAATTGGATTAATATACCATTATATATATCGTTATTATATATCATTATATAATGGTTCTTTTTAAACTTTAGGAACAAAGCCTGGTCTTTAGGCATCTTGTTAGATTTTAATATGTTAGGCATCTTGTTAGATTTTAATGAGGCATTGCAGGGAGAGGTTTTGAAAATTATGTTACTGTAATACGGAACTTGAGGGATATGTTTAAACTCACCTGAATGATTTGCTAATTTAGTGATTCAAACAGCAGGTGCAAATACAATGTGAGCTGGAAATGCGCAACAGTTGCAGTAGCTCATGGAATAATGCCCGTGATAATCAGAGTTTTAATACATTATGGCACCGGCACATGGACATGACTATCATTAATAGAACTAGTATCCTTTATGCCCTACTCAAACTCAAGCTCCACTGCATTTTCACTCACAGATGTGCAATTGTTTTTATTGCACATCATGCAATAGATTTTATCTACTCCTAATTTCTATTGCCACCTAATTTGCTGTGGTTTAACAGTAAACCACACTATTGGAATACATAATTGGGTTATTATCTCTTCACTTCATCAAGTTGAGGCTTTTTTACAGTTCCAAATATTTGCTTATGTCTGGCTTGCACAAGCACCTCAATCTCCTCTGCTGTGAAGCTCTGCGCTGCCTCTCTAAGTGAGCCTTTCATTGTGCTTTAAGCAGCTGTTTAATAGCTATGAGACAAGCAATATGATTGGCCGAGAACTTACTAACTAAACATTACATCTTACTATTAACATTCAACTTTACCTATTCCTTTTACACAAACGTGGTCCTGTGTGTATTTGTATTACAGTTTCAAGTGGCTTTAGGATATGCCCTCATGTCCTTCTGAAATGTAGCAACGACTGAGTAGGTCACAATGATTGCTTAATGAAGACAGCAGGTCTTAGGCTAAAACATCCATTTTGGCAAGAAGTTATTTGTTTTCCCTTTTCTGACATGATATTTACCTCAAAGTCCAGGAGGGCATCCAGCTGGTTCTGAATAATTGGGAGAGTTTTCATCAGCTTCTCTGTGCTCATGGTGCGCATCACTCCATCAATCCTACAGAAAAGTGAAAGCTTAGAGGAGGTTGCAAAAAACTGAAAAGGTAAGTTTATATGCTCATGTCCATGGAAGCTTTCTCACTATATGCATAACCTTCATGTTCTGTCTCCCTGTCAAAATCAACTAACTCACCCTCTCTTCATCTTAGTGAAATCGACCGCTACCAGTCTGTAGGACATTGCCCGTTCATTAAGGTATCTGCTATATCGTCTGATGTAGGTGGACATATCATAACCTAGAGAACAAGATTTAAAGGTAACCACATTGTCTAAAAAGAATTCTGGAGACATATCTGCAGTGTGGATTTATTTAAGTCTTACTCACCTTGTAATGCACCTTTATCTATGAAATTGTTCAAGTTAAAGAGTGTGCTTCTGGATGCAAGGTACTGGATGAACCTCTGTTTAAAAGAACACAAATAAAACATCTTTTGTGGTGCATTCCAAATTTGTGTAAGGACGTCCATAAAGAATGAAAAATTAAATCAGTCCGATTTCATCACACTAAATATTCGATTTCAGTCGGAACAAAACAGAGGCTTCATCATTTATGCACAGGAGTAGTGCAGTTTCCCAGAAACTATGTTCTTATTGAAGCACATATACATGTTTTAAAAAAAATGACCTTGAAAACATTACAGTACAGTTACAAAAGAAAAACAAAACTACGAGTTAAGTTAGTTGACAGCTTACCTCATTGCCGTACATCATGAGATGGTGAGTGGTGATAAGGGTCTTGAACACCACAACCCAGCTCTGATTGGCCGTCCTTTCAATCAGCGTGTCAGCCAAATGAGGTATACTCACGCTCAGCTCATTGGTGCAGTGCATCAGATCTGGGCGTTGCACAGAAACAGGGATACAAATGACAAAGGTATAATTGTGGAGGTGCAGATATATATTTCACCGCATTTATTTGAATGGCACTTCAAATTTGTAAGATTGGCAGGCTCCTTTCCTTGAACCCCTCAGGCATACCTCTGTTCTGAACTTGTTAACTGACAGCTTAATTGATTGCCAGGTCCCTTAATCAACTATGTTCAGATGTTATTTGTGAACAGAAGGAAAACTCTTTTTGACTGGTGCCTGGCCACTTCCTCAACTGGCATGTAATGGTAGAAATACATTACTGTTTAGGATTTAATTCACTCTGGAACTATATCTGAAGTATGTTACAAGTTCTGTTCCTTCACAGTATTGGAGAATGATAATATTCTAGGATTATTTATTTATGGTAAAGCCAGGTACAGTAGAGTTCTTGAGACCATAGTAACTGAAGAGAGGGAAAAGGGGCACAACGTTCCAGCATCCTGGAGCAAGCTGAAATGAAATGCCCTTACTTCAAGGGCATAATGTATTTTCCCCAGGTGTGAGGGGAGGGAGTCCAGAACCTGCAGATTTACTACCCAAGTATAAAGTACAAGTGTGATTTTTAGGCAACAGCACCAGGATGGAAGGAACCCTAACTGAAACCTCTGGTTGTTTTTAATGGTACCTACTGAGCCACATGCTGGCTAATTTTAGTTAAGGTTGGACTAAAACAAGAAAGTCAGACTCTTCCAACACTGCTCTCTTTGAGCACTCCTTAATAAGAACTTGACGGAGACTGGAAGGTGATTAGTCACTGAATCCTCTGCGTGACAGTGTAGTAAACAGCCAGCATGCAGTTTTGAGAAACTGTTCTGGTCATTTCCACATCAAAACTGTTATTAGACCCACTACTGAAACTGTAATTAGGCCCACAGTGAAGCATGCAGTATATAACCACCACAAACCAAAGCACCTCTGCATTGACAGTCCTGTGCCTATTAATGACTCAGAGGGCACTGAAAAGCAATGGCCGATATAAACGACACCCAAACAAGAGCAACGAGGCAGTGTTCAACAACCATTTGTTCACTGCTTTTGTACATGCGCTTAAAACTGAGTGTTTACACAGAAAACCTCACATCAGCATACAGTACAGCACAACAGTCCACAATGATTAATACCCTTTTATATAAGCAAACAAAGGAACAGCTATGTCAGTGAGACGCATATGTATAAATTTGTGTGGTTTTCATGCTGCTTTGTAATAGTGCATGCTTTAACATCACCCCATATGCCCTTGATGCTGCATGTCATTTCCTATAGATCAGGTAGCTCTGAGGTTATCAACTCCTGCGTAGGCTGCTCACTACCTGAGACACTATATGTGGGATATATGTTTCAGAATTAGACACCCTAATTCGAGCATGTATGCGTGAAAAAAATGAAACACAATGTATGTCAGGACACTGCTCATGCCTATAGCTCAGCCCATTACAGTGAGGCCCCACACTCAGCTGTGGCGGCGTATTGGCGGTCAGGGTGGCATTAAGACGCTCTTATCATGTTTGAAATGAATTGAAAGTGCTGTTAATACTCCACGGGCTTCGATCTGGGCTACTACCCTGACCTTCAGCATAATGAATGATTATCGCTGTCCGGTGATGAACGTGAATGGGCTGTAAGCACAGACAGAAAAACACACACGAACAAACACGAATCGCAGTGGGATCGAGGGCCAAAACCCACTCGCCCTGAGCCCCTGTAACAAAGCGCTAATGCTCCACCATTGGCTTGGCATTTCGGAGGGCCGTCTACTTAACCTACAGTCGAGGTGCTTCTTCTTGGGGGCGCTGACTTCGTGCGTCGTGGCCTTGCACACGGCTTTGCTGATGGCCGATCCGGTCATGCTGTGCTGAGCCGCGGCGATCCGGTCCGTAATGGACTGTCCCGACATAGCTAATAATGCCACACGATAAAAAAAATCGTCTCTGAGCAAAAGGAAAAAAGCACTCGGTGCAGGGATGGAGGGAGTGGGGGGGAACCGCTCACGTCGCTTGTCTGTGTGCGGAGAACGGCAGCCTATCCTGACAGAAACCCGAACTGAGAGGAGGCACTGACATTCAGAATCAACCGGACTACCGGCGACGAGACGATCAAGGGCGAACGACTGCGCTGATGTGTCTAACGTTACAGCCCGCTGTCAAGAATACAGCAGCGTCCAGAGCGCGTTAGCCTACTGAAGCGGACCGACCCTCCGTAACGTTACGAGCTATAGCACATCACTACGGGCACTGCTGCTACCCTCCCGTGTCGCCGGTTAACCATGTAACTGCTGCTCGAATAAGGCTAGCTGGATGATTTCGACTTCCAAAAAAACATAAAAGACGAAACCAGCCCTGAATGAACGTGCTGGGTTGAATACTGTCAAGCCCGCGAAGCAGTAGCAGCAGAAAAATAACGGCCGAATTCACATCCCCACTAGCAGAACAGAAGTCTGACGAGGCTAGCAGCTACTACTCGGCATCCTTTTCACATTCCTTCAGCTCTCCCTCATGGAGCGAATTAGCAAAGATGCTTAAAACGCGATAAAGGGCTGTGCGTTTATCCGAATGGCGGCTCCACAGTGACACTGGTCCTAACCGTGCCAATTCAACATCTCGTCGCTGACATTTTTTTTTTTGTACACAGAGGAATTTCTCCCAGTTTCTGCCTCACAGTTACGGAGCCGGACGCTGCGCGCAAAATGGCAGTTATGGAAATCAGGTGACTCGAGGCGGCCGCGGATTGGTTCTTGTACGACTAAAAGGGGCGGGGCCTTTCGGTGGCATCAAACGGTCCAGATCTCATATTCTTCTTCTTTATAAGAAACTGAAGATGGCCGTGTCTAAATACTTTATTGATAAATCTGTCAAACAAAACCATTTTCTCTGAGGGCTCCCCCATACGAATTTAACGGAGAATGGAGGGATACAATGGTAGGAGATCAGTCACCGAGTTACATATATGACAGTGTAGTCCTCCTCAATAAATAAGAGTACATAAATACTGTCTCAAAGGTGAAAGAAGAGGAAACAACAACAACAACAGCAAACCTAACTGAACATGTTGTATTACATTCATACATAGTAGTCCCAGTAGAACCCCTTACACTGGAATGTCCATTTCTAAAAAGCTACAGGGATTGCAGAAAAGCCCCTCTGTGAAAATGTAAATGTACTGTGTGATTGTTTATAGCCATGGCATGGAATAAAAGGAGCCATGTCGTGATGTAGATCCAGACAAATCAGGTAGACAGAGACAAGGGCTATGACTTTTGAAGACTGTCACACACATTGAAACTGTACTCCACTGTTCTGAATGTCTCTTCCACCTGCCCCATGGATCACCCACCAACCCAGATAGGGAAGAGCGGGGCACAACCTGATAACAGCTCAGATGTAAAACAGGTTTTCTATGTGACTAAACATGTTCAAGTACAACATGCCTTTGGTCATCTTCACATATTTCCATAGCAATGTCATCTAATCTTTATTTTTTTTTTCAAGATTCAACCTGAGGGCTGTTCGTACCTTAACTTTCCTGTAAATATTTTAATCATGAGTGTTTTTCAATCACTGTGTAAGTTGCAGAATTGACATCTATATTATTTTGGTCATTCTCTTGGTGGGTGTAAACTGAAGCATGTAAAGAACTTAGAGTGAGACCTAAACAGGCTACAGTACAGCCTCCCTGACAGTACGTTTCTTAGTTTCTAACTTTTACAATTGTTACAACTAAGCCTCCTAAGAGGATAGAAGAGGTCCATATTCCTCATGATAAATTCAAAACAGACAATGTTTTGTAAGTTTTCATGCACAGATTGATCAGAAATGTACTATAAATATTCTGTATAATTATGTTCTTTATCATATATAGAATTATATAATTACATTTTATTGTGCTTTATTGTCTTCCTACACTGTGGTCTAAAATACTTTTCCACATTTGGCACAGCCTCTTTCATTAGTAATATTTATTTTGATACATATTTTTATTTATAAGCTTATCTGGTTCAAACAACATGGAATTATATTAAATTGTGTTTTCATTCATTTTAAAGTGACTGTTACAACTAGTTTTTCCATCTGTTAAAATTAACCCCACCTGTGCACTCCCTCTTTTGCTTTTGGCTGAATTGTTCATAAACGTTAGGTACTAGAAACAAAGTTTACATTTAGAATTATAGCAGAGATGTTTAGGTTGTTTGTATAAAATGTATTAAAGGGCCCATATCCTACATTTGTCTTGTATTTTTATCTTTTTCCTTGAGGTTGTAATGTTGTGGCTTTGTGCATCAAAAACAGTCATCATTAATTTTTACATGATATTGTCTGACCTCCCCTCATCACTTAGAATTGAACAAGACATTTTTATTTCTGTGCTTTTTAAGACTGAAATATGTATATAGGTTCTATTCTGATTGTCTGTCCTGTCTTGCACCTTATTCAAAAAACAGTCTGGGCTGAAACACTCCTTATAACTTCAGCTTGACTGGGTGGAGCTAAACTGCTGTAGGCTGAATAGGCCAATATATCTGAATGGGTTGCTATCACAGAAACTGTGAATTTAAAATGTGCTGTTCTGCAGCTTAGTTTTCTTACGTAGACTGTGTGGACTGTTTTGAAACTTTAACAAAAAGTGAGGAATTATGTTTTTCCAAGATATAGGCCCTTTAATAATGCTCAAATTCCTTAAAAATTATAGCAAAAACTAAAAATGTGTTAAGTTGTGTCACATTCTCCTTTACTCATGTGATATATCTGTAACAAATCTGATAGCACAGAATAATAATCATTTGCTGTTCCTGTGGAGCAAATAATCTCACATCTTGGTTTCACATTTACTCAAGAAGCAGTTGGTCCAACAACATACTTAGTGTTGTGCTACTTATAAAATACATGAGAAACATGACAGTGCACAGATATTTCATGATTTTTGTTCATAATGTTCTTTTGAGCCTGGAAAATATTGGTATTGTCTGTGCACACGCTCCGCTGCTGTGCACCAACTCCACTGCAAGTGTGTAGTATCTGCTACGAACATCAACAAGGCCTCTTCTTATTCCTCCTCTTAATATTTTGTTTTTTGTTCTTCACTGCATGTTGTTGTTGGGAAAAGGCATCAACATTCAAAAAATGATGCCCATCATGTCTTCCTCCAGCTCTCTCTCTTTCTCCCTCTCTCTCTCTCTCTCTCTCTTTGACTTCTGTTCCTCCTCAGCACAGGTCTCAGTATTTGGAGCATGTGGAGCATCTGGCCCGGCCACGATCTTTGGTGTTATTGTTATAGCCGGGCAGGGTCACTGTGTCTGGATCGGAGTCGCTGACAGTGCTCTCCTCATGGGCCAGAATGTGCTGTACCAAGCATCTGGCTGCTGCTTCAATATTTGTGTTCTCCTATGACAGAGGTGAAGAAACAATAAGAACAGGTGAAAAACTGAGATTTTACACAGCAACCTTCACATTAGCGTATGGTTTGTATAGTGAAATGTAAGGGAATAATGTATTAGCTATGTCTTTGAGATGTACATGTATTTGTGTGATTATAATGCTGCTCTATAACAGTAACCCACTTAATACTTAGGGCCTTGCCGATCACATGAAATATGAATGACAATTCTTACACTGCATGCATACCAATGTCCTTCAGCCATGGCCCGCAAAGTCCTTCTTATAACATGTGATGTGCATGTGGAATGACATTGAATTTTCTCATATATTGAGTTTTCTCCACCGTATCCATACATTTTCAAACCTCATGTTATCTTCAGGCTACGTGATAATAACTCCACTAATTCATGAAAACCATGTGACTACAATGACTATATACAGAAACTCTGCCTTAGCAAACCTTTGGTTTGAAGTTAGAATAATACTTTTACTTTGTGAATTGGCTGTAGCTGCAGCTGAAGCAGCCATCTTACGCAAGCCCACTTTAAATCTAAAATGAATGTGATCAGCTTTATAACATGGTGCAAACAGTGCACTGGAAAAGAGCTGCAATGAATTTGCTTGATTCAGATGTGTGCATTATTTCCACATGAACAAAATCTACATCAACACAGTTTGGTCTTTCAATTAACTTACTTTCAGCTACAATTGTGCTGATGTAATACATTTCATTCATGTGCAGTGGTGGAAAATACTTGAGTACTTTTCTTAAGCATTATTTTGGAAGACTTGTACTGTAGTTTAGTATTATTGAAACTGAATAATTACTTACACTCAATTTCATTTCAAACAGAATAAACATACTTTGTACTCCTTACGTTTTCATTTAGACCTCAAATCTCAGTATTTGGAGCATGTTGGCCATGATCTTTGGTGTTTCTTCAAAGCATTCATAACAAACCTTCATTTAGATCATCACTAACTGCTGATAATTAGACTAATTCATGTTTGTGCAAGGACCAGTACCAACTAATAGTCAGTTATTGAAAGCTATTGAAGAATTTCACTGATTTCTCAAAATTTCTATACAATCAAACCATTCAAGTTCTAAACAAAGTCATTCAGTCTGGTTTGATGTAAATTTCTAGAGGGTCAGTACTGTATACGCAGTGATGCTGATAGGAACCAGCCATCCAGAACATTTAATACCTCTAACAGCTCCCTCATAGAAAGTTGCTACATAAAGTGATTATGAATATGCTGCATGATGCCAGAGACATTGTTTTATGATTACAACTGTTCATCAGTTCCTGGATGAGAGGTACATGCAGTGTGTTGTAAGGCAAAATATTCCCCAAAGAATATTTACCATGATTTCACCATCATCAGCAATACATCTGAAAACTCAAAAGGCATATGTATGATCACTGGTCATTTTAGATCGCCTTATTTGCGCTCTAGAAATTGTGACCCCTGGTCCACATCATCATCACTGTAAAGAAATCTGAGCCGGTAAGTTTCTCTATCATAAACGATTTCAAACCACTTTAAATGACCTTGTTTACATCTCAACAATTGAATTATGCATAAATTTAAAAAAGGTGGAATTCCCCTTTAGGAGGCAGGGTTACATAGTTTATGATCAGCTTGTGTCCACTTAAAACTTACTTTAAAAGAAAGCATGTCCTGACTCTTGGTTTTATCTGTTAACACCTTAAAATCCTAGGATTATTACTTACTAAGGCTTATTATTCAGTAATTACAGGGGCTTGAATGCAGACTGGCTGAGCTGTTCTTAATTATAAAAGTTTGTAATAAAACTTTGGGCAAAGATTTCAACACAGTACCCATGTTTTGACTTAATTACAATTTCTTTGTATGTTTTCCACAGTGTTTATGTGAATCGATGTACACATTCCAATCAAGTAAATTCCATGCATCACTTTTCTCTGTGTGCCCAACTGAGAGTATCATTTTACTTTTTAAATTTACCCTCTACTTCAGGTAATTATACAGGCTGATTCAAAAAGATTCATCCGATTTCAAAATGATTTATTTCACCTGTAAATCATTACAGAACAATGTAAATTGTAAATGGTTTAGTTGAGCATAAAGTTTATTATGTAATTTTACAAGTGCTCAATATTAACCTCCTATAGCTGTATGGACAACATCTGCGGTCCCATACACGATTGAGCATGTTGGGTGTCACTCTACTCACCGCTCTTTCAATGCAATTTCGAGATCATCCAGTGTTGTGGAACTAACGCCAAATGCTCTGAGCTGTTGGAGGTTCACTGCCGACGAAAATCACGTTGCACAGTTATGACGGATTCACTCTTATTTAAGTGGAGAAAGTAAACTGCTTTCTGCTCAGTGGTCGCCATCTCCTCGCAGACTGATGGGAGCCGTCTTCCGGTGACAGTCAGAAACTCTATGACCCCCTCCTTCAATTGGTATGTGATTGGTTCCTTGGCGCCTCACGGTTGTAAAAATATGGCGCTTTGAAATCGGACGAATCTTTTTGAATCACCCTGTATTTAAAACCTGGTTTACAAATCGTAGTCAAATCCCCACCCATACTTTTAAAAGCAGTAAAGTGTTAATAGTTATGCTTTGTGACCTTTCACGCCATGTTCATACAGTCCCCATCTCACACACTGCTGTGTCTTTCATTAGAGTGGTGCTGTGAGTTGAAACACGTGAGCCACCCTGAGCCCCTCACACACACACACACACACACACACACACACACACACACACATCAAACACTGACCTCCCAATCATCCCCATCTCTGTGTGTATAGGCAGATACAGTCATTTACAGCATTCCTTTGAAGCTGAATTGTTTATCCAATTGTGGATGAGACATTTTACAAGGAGATGCAATAGAATTCCTTCAGTCAATTCAGCATGGGTCAACACACAGCGAAAACATCAGTGGACAGCGCAAGTTAGACCAGTTCTCTCTCGCTATGAATTTAACCTCTTAAACTCTTGGTTTATTATTCAATTATGCGTCTTAAAATGTATTATTAAATAATTACTATTAATGATTCAGTAACTGCTATTGTTTGTTCATAAACTACTATGGATTAACTAGTAACTATTGTAAATTACGCAGTAACTACTGTGAATTATAAGAAACCTACTATGGATTATTCAGTAACTACTGTGAATTTTTCAGTAAGTACAATCTGTTATTTATCAAGCAATATGACTTATTCAGTAAATACTACTAATTCTGCCTCTTTTGCACTAAAGATGGCATCAACACGGTCAGACATAAAAGGCTTAAAACAACCTGATCTGTGGTAAACATAGCACAAAATGTCAAGCCAAAAAGGAATTTATCAGCTTTAGCTCTCTGAAACACACTGATTGGTGTTTACTAACCTTGGCTGAGGTTTCAAACCATCCCACGAATCCGTTTTCTTTGCAAAATGTGTCCAGTTTGGGAATCTGAGGACAGACACCCTCCCGTAACTGGTCAGATTTATTGGCCAGCAGAACCGCTGGGACTGGTTTGCCATTGCTGAGAGTAACCTTTGAGTCCAGGTCATCTTTCCACTTCAGCACTGCATCAAATGTAGAGGCTCTGGTCACATCGAACACTATAAGTGCCCCCACAGCCTCTCGGTAGTACACCCGTGTCATATTGCCATAACGCTCCTGCCCTGCACACATGAGGAATGGAGCAGGATGATCACAACTCAGAGTTTACTACATTTATTGGAATTGATTACAAATGTGATTATGATATGTCTTCTATTTATAGTGCAGTGTGTGTTAAGAGGGAGAGAGAGTAATAACAGTGAGAAAGAGAGTGGTAGAGAGAGAGAGAGAGAGAGAGAGAGAGAGAGAGAGAGAGAGAGAGAGAGAGAGAGACTGGCACTATCCCAACTCTCATGTGACTCTAACACGAGAATGAGAGCAGCAATGGTTATACACGTAGAGACAAGTATTCTTCAACACTGCCCAGAATTAAACACCAAACTCCAGAACTAATGAGTCAGGCAATGAGACACGGTGTGTAGAAGTTTTCATCCGTCAACTACCTTCAAGGTTTTTAGGGATTAGCAGTCACACGAACGTATACACTGATGAATGTAATTATATTTAATGCTTGCTATTTTGTTTCACCATCTCAAAACAACGTTAAATGGAGTTACCAGATCACCAAGTGAAATGCCAGCCATGGGAACAACTTTACATGTGTCCTATTTCAGGAGAAATTAAGGTGGGAAAGGATTAACATACCAGCAATGTCCCATAACTGCAGGCGGATGACCGTCTGGCTGTCCCAGTTCAAGACTTTGAGCGCAAAGTCGACGCCTATAGTAGCGCGGTAATGCTGAGAGAAGATCTGATGAACGTAGCGCTTGATGATGGACGTTTTTCCGACTCCGAGGTCTCCAATCACAAGAACTTTGAACAAATGTTCTTGCTGCATGACTACAGGCTACGCCAGAAGGACCGTTACATAGAGTTTGTACGTGATGTAGCAAACAGCACTTCACCGTTCAGATCCCAGTTTGTGCGACTGTATGTCTCACAAAACTGGACATTCTGCCAGACAAAATACTCTTCACTTGCACACGATTCAGGCAGTTCTCCGAGTCACACGACACAGTACCTGCACATGCCTCACCGTTCAAATGGGATCTGCGATCAGTTACACAATGAATAGGAATTCACTGAATGAAAAAAAACACGACAAAACGTGTTAACAGTTAATATTGTAAGGTGTCGCTCTGCCAAAAGTAAACGAATGTGTTCTACTAATTAACGAGCACTAAAAAAGAGTTAGAAAACACACGAACACTTACTTCCCAGTCCTGCGTGCACAAACTACTGGAGTAATTTTTCCCACCCGTATTCAGACAGTGCCCACCTTCTGCGCTGCGATTGGCTAATAGTACTCTGCAATCTGCGCTGCGATTGGCTAGTAAGTTGTCCCCGCACATCAGCCGCCAATCCCAGTGCAGGAGGCGGGGCTTAAAGGACACGGGTGGGGGGGGAAATAACGCCTCACTGTCAACCACGAAGGGCGGAGCATTTCACTCTCATTGTCCCGTGCTAGTCCTGCTAAGCGTGTGAAAATGCATTATCAGTGTGGAAAAACCTTTATGTACAGACACAAGATTTCGGCAGTGCATATGATTCAAACAGCAGATTTCCAGAAGAAGTCCACTCATGAAACCGTGCCATAAGAACATTTTTACAGGACGCTGCAGGATTCCTACGAGTAACAAGGACACACCATGTCATTGATGCAAAGCACCAGCACGTAGAACCCAAAAGTCCTAGAAAGCATGCCGTTTTTGCGCGTGGACCACGCTCAACAGCCATTTCAGCTAACACAAGGCTGTTTTCACCCTATTTACTAGTGTGCCAGTAGCTCTCCCTCGCGGACAATCTTGTTAAACGTGAGTGAGTGAGTTACAAGCCAGGTCAACCAGGTGCTTCACATCTAAAAAAATCAAACAATTATGATACTACAGGATACTACATGAGAAATAGGAGAAAATACTCTACCTTACCTCCCTGGCCTCATTCAAATTTGCATTTCCATTAAATGGGCCACATTTAAATAGCTGCACTTCTGTGAAATAAAAGAGCTTGATGTAATATGTTACCATGTATGTTTTGAATTAACTGTTTGCTTTTGTGATGTCTTGAAAACCAGCACTTAACTTAGTAGCAAATATATACGTGTACCGATCAGGTATAACATTATGACCACCTCCTTGTTTCTATGCTCATTGTCCATTTTATCAGCTCCACTTACTATATAGGTGCACTTTGTAGTTTTACAATAACAAACTGCAGTCCATCTGTTTCTCTGCATACTTTGTTAGCCCCCTTTTACCCTGTTGTTCAGTGGTCAGGACCCCCATGGACCCTCACAGAGCAGGTACTATTTGGGTGGTGGATCATTCTCAGCACTGCAGTAATGCTGACTTTTAACTAGCTTAAACTAAAGACTAAAATTCTTTTATTTTAAATGACTTTGTACAAATGATTGAACATTCTATTCTGTATCTAGACAGCATTTTTTTATCATTTGAAATTAAACTCTAAACAGTCTAAATCTCTCATCTTCATATCATCATAAGAATCTTTAAAAATATTAGGAAAAATACAAATACAAAAAAAGTAGTATTAGTATTAAAAAAATTGTATTAGTAGTAAAAAGTATTATTTTCACAAGGTGAAATGTAGGGGTTAGGGTTACAGGTACAGTCACCTGCCAATAGAAAGTACCACAGCTTATTACTGTATCAAAGAAGTGTTTCAGTGTGGACTGCTTTTCAAATGAGTCACAATACAGGGCAACATATATCAGTCTTAAAGGTAAAGGAATAAAAACACCCTATAGAACTGTAAAGAATAAAGAGAGATTAGAAAATGGTCATGTTAAATACAATTATGGCTGATTTGGTACATAAAACCAAACAAATGGTAAAAGTGGACTAAAGGAATCAAATAAAGGGAAAAACAAAATACAAGAATATTGTCCCCTTAATTTGGTCCCCTTAGCAGTGAATAAAACCCATATTCTATTTTTTGCAGGTATCTGCAGATGGGTGACAAATGAAAGGAAACGCCCCATCAGAATAGACGTGTTTAATCAAAGGTTATAAAAAGGTAATCAGTCAAAATAACTTTGTATTGATTTGCAGTGACTGTTCCCTTTACAGGGACAAATGAACCCAAATCAAAAAGCAAAATGTTCCCTAGTGTAACAGAGCCACTGGAGCCCCTGTAGAGGGTCCCTCACTGTTTTCAGTCACCTGAGGAAGATACTTTTTCTGTTTTTCCTTACATATCGCACTAATGCACAAACATTACAATTTTACCACAATTTCCAAAACTACTGATGTCTTTCTCATAGAACTAAATGCAGATGTTAGTCACTGTTCCTTCTGAAACAGTAGTCAGTTGAGGATTTTGTGATTGAAGCTCCTGCCATCTGTGCCCCAATGATGAACCCTTTTTTAAAATCTCTTAGGTATTTTTCTCCTTGCTTTCTTGATCCACAACAGAGGTGAACTGGGCCTGCTCAGCCTTTTCATATATGCCATGAGCATAGCAGGATATTAACTGCTTAACTGCATCATGAGGTAAATGTTTCTCACATTATTTATTCAGGTTTTTTCTTTCTTTTTTGTCACCCATCTTTACCTCATTTGAGATGTTGAGACATCTTAGGTTTGGTGTGTGTGTAATCAGATCAGACTGCCATATATCTAGACAAAATCCACTTACACAAACAATCTGTGTGTATATGTGTGTGTGTGTGTGTGTTGGAAATGTAATGCCACTTCATTACATTTACGTGCATCATTTCTAGATGTACAAATTATATAATTACAAGATATCATTATGCTGTTTACAATAAACAGATTTACATACACATCTACCCTTATTTCTAGCTTACTGATTAACATTCCCTCTTTCACGACATGCGTTGGCTGTAATGCATTTAAAAGATCTACACACTCCGCCTAAATGACCCTGTATCGATTAGACCATCTGGACAAAGCCTCGAGCACCCCTTTCTGACAGAGTGAAGCTGGTGGTCGACCGTTGTTGTAGTAGCTCTCAGAGCGCCTCCCATCGCCTCCCCGGCGGTTAATATGAGGGCAGTGGACAGATGTAGGAGAAACAACGACACCGAGTCAACGCTGGTCTGCGCCATCATTGTGGGTATTACGGTAATGGTACTGATGAGGGATGAGTCAGGCTATATGATGCTGATGATCCTGCCATTTCATCAGCACATTTTTACAAACATCTTTTCATCCTTTATCATGAGATTGGCAGCACGATTCTGCAAGCCGTTTGGGGGATTTCTTAAGGCGATCGTTGCTAATGCAAACGGCCTGCACGATTGTTCTTGGTAGTTGGTTGCACCCTTAAAGCGGAAACTAGTTGCATATTATTTCCTTACAAACGTGCTCGGGGTGGGTGGCCTTGGATGCTTTGCCTGGGAACGGCACTGACTGCACTGCTGATTTTCCAGCTCTGAAGACAATGAAGACCATGGGTTTTGCCATCGCAAGACACTGAGCGGCTTAACTGAGGTACCTGCAGTCCACTGTTACTCCGTCGTGTGCGATAACAGAGAGCTGTAGCTAGATGTGTGTTGCCTAGTCGAAGCTGAGGTCGGTTCCTTAATCGTCAGCTTCTTTTCGAATTTTCCGTTCCACCTTAAATGGCGCGGCAATTACGCTCTGGTGTCCGAGGCACCACAATGTAACTGATGCACCATTTAAGGTGGAACGGAAAATTAGAACGAGAAGCCAACTTCATGCTCGTCCTAGCCTAGTGTCTGGCCCACACACGTACAGGCCTCCTTTACGGCTTTTACTTCATACGGCGATTTTTAATGCTCTGAGACAGTTTATAATCGAAATGCAATGAATTTCAGCCAGGATACATCGGACAGTATAGTCATGTCCAGTTAGGTTAACGTTCGAACCAAAAAAAGCTCGTGTAGATGCGCTAGCAGCTCTGACATCCTGGACCTCTAATGTTGTCGAGAAACCTTATTAGATTATAATCCGAAATAGACATGATACGATGGCTTGGTTACTCCCCACACGCCTTGGAATGCATTAAAAACTACTATAAGACCTTCGTTAACCGCAGGGCTTTATTTACTTGTTACTGCTGAAGCTCCAGAGATACTGTTTATGTGGCAGAATAAAGGACATTTTGCAATACAAGCCATTTTAAATGAAGATGTGAAAAACACTAACATTTTCCATTTGCTTTTGAGGTCAATATTCAAACATTCTCTCTGTCTCTTTGTCTCAAACTACTTGCCTTAATGCAATTATAAGTATGTGTTTGTATCATAAATGTTATATGTGTTTGTAGTATATTTAACAGTTATTATTTACTATAAAACGAAACATGGCAAATACTGGGTCTCAACCTGATAAAACTAGAATGACTGACGCATATATTTGTGTTTTGTTTTTTTGGATACACAAACATTGATGCCTAGTTGAGTAATTAAGAATACACTTGAGTGATTTCATTTATTTTAAATTGATTTTATGTCACATTAAGTGACCAAATTCTCATTACTGCAACAAGATACACATGTAAAAATGATTTTTCCCATCTTTTTTTAAAATTAAATAATCTATATACTGTTGTTGGACAAAATATTTTAAAGCTAATTTTTATATATAAAATATATTACAGATCATGGTGTTTTGCAATTTCATCTCATTCTCGCAACACTGGTTCTTCTCTTTTCTTGTGTCACATAAAATTTGGTTGTTTTGGTTCACTTCCTTAAAGTTTACAGTGAAAGGTAAAAGGATTCAGCAGATAAAGGTAGTGTTAAATACAGATTGCACATTGCAGTGATGAGAACTAGGGCGAAAATGCATAAAATAACTAAATTATATGACTATTGTTCATCTGCGCAAAGATTATGATGCTCAAATATTTGTGGACTGTGGTCTGGTGATAATCACTCAAAAGCAGAATGCTTCGTATTCTTCTCTTCTTCCTCTACAGATTTCATGAGATATGGAAGCTATATGGCTATACCAGTTTCGATTGATCGTCATTGGCGACTCGACAGTGGGGAAGTCTTGTCTGATCAGGCGTTTCACAGAGGGCCGTTTTGCACAGGTGTCTGACCCCACAGTTGGAGTGGACTTTTTTTCACGTCTGGTGGAGATAGAGCCAGGCAAACGCATCAAACTTCAGATCTGGGACACAGCTGGACAAGAGAGGTTCAGGTATGTTTGATGATATCCACTGACATTTTACATGCACCCGAGTAGCCCTTTCTGTGGCTGTCCTATGATTAAAGTAAAGTTCAGTCTGGCCTCCAGGCTCCATTGTTATAACTCATAAACTCAGACAGAAATAATGCTTGTGGAAAGCCAGTCGTACTCTCCCTTTCGTCTTGTAAACTGTTCATCTTATTTTTAGGCTACACCTGGCTGTCATCTGCTTGGTTCCTCTTTTCTGTGTTCTAATTTCATACTGTTTCACTCACAATCAGCAGTTTTTGCTTGAAATGGATTCTGCTGTCTTTTGAACCCCTTCATTGTGCATCACTCCCCTTTCATTTTCACTCAGTAGATATAAATCTCTGACCCTACAACTAAAAAATATGAGTTTTGGACAGATGTTTAGATTGGACTAATATTTAAAACTGATATTTGATATTTGAATTTGTTTACTGTATTGTGGAAGAGCGGAATGTTTAGGCAATGCTGCTGCACTAAAATGTGAGCAATTTTATTCATTTTACTGCTTTTGTAACCCTAAAGAAATAACTGTTATATGTCGCTGTGATTCTAATGCAGCTGAGTCCCAGTTTCTACATTTTATAAATATTTATGTAACAGCATTGGCAGATATGCAAAATATATTTACATATATATTTTTTAATTATTTAATTTACACACTGCATATATTTCAGTGAACTGACATATACCCTCTTGTGCAAAAGTTCCTCCTGGTCAAACTACATGATTGATTTTCTAAGTGAAAATAACACATCCTCTACAGCAGGGTTTCTCAACCTCTGGGCTATAGACTACAAGTGGGCCGTGAAGCACCCTCTAGCGGTCCACAGGCCTGTACTCGGGGGCCTCTTTTCCACTAGGGCTGAACTGTTCTGAGCTCAGAGAGTAACTGTTCTAGTGGCAATTGCACATGGGACACAATGCTTACAGGCCATGCTCAGCGCAGTTTACTCGCCACAGTTAGCTAACCGTGCTTGGGGCCACAGAACCGTATGGTGGGATGACATAATGGCGCAGCTATTTACTGATTGGTTCTACGTTCATGTCAGTATTGTGCCACTGTATCTTGCTGAAATCGCAAAATAATCAAATAAGTTTAGTTCACTTACACGATCATTAAATAAATGAAAGCAGCGCACCGTCAATAAACGTCAAACCATCAATCTAGCAACAGTTAATAAATGTTAAACAGTGGTGCTAACTAGGAGGGAGGAGCTGATCAGCATTCAATCTGAGGAACCAGAATCATGCAGCTGGTATGGAGGAACAGAAAGCCAAAATTAAACCTGTTCTGTGGTTTTTGAATCTGTGGCTTCCTAGGTAGGCTAATGCTAGCTGGCTCCTCTAGTCCAAGTATCTAATGGCCTACAGATTCAAACACCACAGTACATGATTATTCCCGTCTGCTCTACTGTTACATGTGTAGACAGTAAAAACTCATCTTTACTACTGAGAGAGCAAGGTCTAAAGACTGGTGATGGAGTGACAGAAAGCTAGCTGAGCTGTAGCCGCTGGTCTAATGCTAGCATAACATTAGTTAGGATGCTAAAGGTTCTGCCCACCACAGTACAGGCTATATTTAAATAACAGCTATTTGGAGAATAAAGACTCATGAGTGTGTAAAATCATGTGACCGGTATTGACAGCTGGAATCGAACATGTTCTGTAGCATTTAGCCTGTGAGTCATTGCTAAGCCACTGTTGTGTGTAGTTTTCCTAAAAGTTTTCTGGTTCTGATTTAGCAGCACAACAGATGGAAATAGAAACCGTAATCAGTCTCATGAGCACAGAATAGAACAGTATGGCCTATGGAGCCATAAATCAGTGGATTTAATTATTTTGGTATGATTCTGAATTGTTTTTAAAAATACAGTGATCACATACATGTGAATGTGGAGGAACATATAGACGATGAAAACAATACATCAAGCTTTTATTTTTGTTTTTTTTCCATGTCTACAAAAAATAGCCCATGTATTGTTTCTAACATTCAAAAACTGATGCCATAGAATCGCCACCTTCAGATCAATCCATCTTGATGCACTGATGCATTTTTACACCTCCTAGTGACTCTGCTTCCTGACCTTCTCCTCCATGTGTCTATTTTAGGTCTATCACCAGGGCGTACTACCGTAACTCTGTGGGCGGACTTCTGCTGTTTGACATCACCAACCGGCGCTCCTTCCAGAATGTTCACGAGTGGCTGGAGGAGGCGCGCAGCCACGTGCAGCCGCACAGCATTGTCTTCCTGCTGGTGGGCCACAAGTGTGACTTGGAGGCGCAGCGGCAGGTGAGCCAGCAGGAGGCGGAAAAGCTGGCATCAGCGTACGGCATGCGCTATGTGGAGACGTCAGCACGCGACGCTATCAATGTGGAAAGGGCTTTCACTGAGCTGACCCGAGACATCTTCGAGCTGGTCAAACGGGGTGACATCACCATCCAGGAAGGCTGGGAGGGTGTGAAGAGTGGCTTTGTGCCCAACGTTGTCCACTCGTCTGAGGAAGTGACCAAGAGTGACCGCCGCTGCCTCTGTTGATCGACCAACACTTGCAGGTGTATCATGTTCCTCCTCTGCAAAACCCAGTCATATTGTGCTCCCTCAGCTTGGCAATCTAACACTGCTCCTTTCTTCCTTCTCGACGACTTCCTGACCACAGCAGAACATAACAGTGCCCCAATGCATTAATCACAAAGATACATTTTAGGACACTTCTTCTAAGCTTCAGCTTCTCCTGTTTACTTCAAGTAAACCTCACTACTGATTCCTAATGCTTGACTGTGTGCAAATATCAGTTTAAAGTGCAACAACAGCCCCACTTAACAAAGCAATGAACTTTGGGACGTTAAAATGGACGGGCTTTGGGTTTTTTTTGGCCCTTGCATGGAAAAATGAAACCAGGACGAGAACTGCTTGAATATATGAATGCATTGCCTCCTTGACTTGGTCCCAGTCTTTTAATCCCAAGACAGAAGCAAAGTTCACAAATCCAGTTCAGTCATCAGCGGTTTCCCCTCCAATAAAAATGACTTGGATGGACATGAAAGGGGATAGCCTATCAAATCAAAGTTATCTGTGGTTGTTAGTTTTTTTTTTTAAACAAATGCATTGTGTCCAACATTTTTAGCACCTACAATACCATGAAAGTGAGGAACCACCCTTCATTTATTTAATTTCCTATCAAAATGGCTACTAACTTAATTTTTCAGGGATTACATATAAAATGATCCTCTTGCATATCAAGGGCAAGAGTTAAAGCAAAGTGAAAAAACAAGTGTTTCCAAAACTGGAGAAAATGGGAACAACTGGGTAAGACCTGGTAGACCACCACAACTGTCACCATCAGATAAACAGCACTTAAGCTTTCATCTTTAAGAAAGAGGCCTCACTCTTGCTTCAGATCTGAAATAATCCCCAGCTGTTTCTGTCCATCCTTCCACTGTGCGAAGACGACTCAACGCTATGGGTCTGAAAAGATGTGTAATTTTCAAGAAGCTGTTACTGAGACAAAAGAGAAGAAAGTTTGCAAAATTAATCAAAGAAGCTGCTGGTGTTGTCAGAACAACGGACTGGCCACCCCAGAGTCCAGACCTCAACATCAGTGAATGTGTTTTAGATTACTGGATTGTGTGAAGCAGAATGCAACCAGCTTCTAAGAGTGAACTTTGGAGGTGTGGCAAAATATCCCTGCGAAGAATTGAAGCTGTAATAAAAGCAAAGCGTGGACACACTAAATACTGAAAAAACTGAGATTATATTTAGGCTTCTGTCATCTTTAGTTAAATGTGTTTACTGCTTTTCTCTTGACACTGAAAAAAAGTAGCTGTTTTGATTGGAAAATAAAATAAATGAAGGGTGGCGTCTGATGTTTGCACAGTACCACACAGGCTCTCATTCTGATTATTTTAGAGGAATACGAACAGTTAAAAAGCTTTGGTGTGTTTTTTAGTCAAGCACATCCTTTGTTAAATTCTTAAAAACATCCAGTGAACTTTACACTGAATTAATGTGAAAGCTCTTGTCCCATTATATAGCCCCATTACAGATGTCATTGCCACATACCTTTGTCCAATGATATGTCAGCTTTTATGTATTTAAAATGATTTACGGAACAATTCTATTGTTCTTGAATGCCTCAATTACTGATTTACTGTTATCTCTGACTTCCACCTATTAATGGGAAAGTCAGTGCAAACTTTTAAATGTGGAACACACACAGCTGTGCGTGGAAACCAAACCCGGTCATCTGACATTCCTTTCACAGTTTGAAACTGCACGTGTAACATCTTAATCTATATATTTTAGCATCTCGCCCCTTAATATAGTTTTAACTTCCATTATCAGCCTTTGAATGAATGCTCAGAATGAATCTTCTTGGGAGCTTTTTTCACTCTTTCATCTCCATCACCTGTCACTTGAGACTGGTAGCTGCTGAGATGTATCTTTTGACTACTGACCAATACGTTATTCATTTAACACTTTGAAATTACTATGAACTATGTATTTATTGATCTTGTAAAAAAGTCAAAATGTAATACCAATAAAATGTGACTTGAAAAATGATTACTGAAATATCATGCAACTCCATCCTTGATGTTTTAAGTGCGTTTTTATATTACCAATGTTGAAAATGACAGATACTGCGAAGCCATTTAAACGTAATGATTTTATTTAAAAAAAGAGAACATTTAAAATACAGCTCCATTTGACATGACATATATTTACAGTGTACAAAATCCAGTGACAAACAAAAATACAGTATATTAAAGGTATAGTATGTACTGTAAAAAAAGAACATCTAAGCAACAGTTCTATGAATGAATCTCCAAGGCATGTGGCGTGGAAGGTGCTGACATCTACCAGCCAGTCGGGTCTTTGAGGGTTAATTTCAACTTCAGGCACTGTTCTATTGGAGACACAAACCTCCAAATTGAAACAAACCACTGCTGTGAAATTTAATGCCTTGAAGCAGACACAAACGTATCTGTGAACACTTGCAAATTTACATGCATAGAACATCATCTTTCTGTACACGCACAATTAGGATGGTAAAGCTATACAAAAATACACACCTAAAGAAGTAATACATAATAGCATGAATAATAATAATAATAATAATAACAATAAAAGTATTTGACCAACCTAAACAAAAACGCAAAGAAAATCAATTGTTATGATATCATAGCTCAATATTTATATATATATATATATATATATATATATATATATATATATATAAATATATATATGCACAATAGTAAACTACCACTCAACTACATTAAAATAATTCTACAAAATAGAATGAATAGATAAAGATGAGGTCAACAGCAAAAAAAAAAGTTTCAATGGAAACCACAAGTATCTATACCATGAGATATGATACAAAGGCCATTCATAGCCAATTCATGGGACTTCAACTTTTGCTTTAGTTTTACTGCAGCATGTCTTCAAATGACTGTTTACCAGTTATTCTACAGTTTTATAAAGCAAAATAATAAGAAAGGAGGTTCAGGAAACAGAGCATATTCACAAAACAGGGTTTCTATGCTGGAGTATTTTTAAAAATTATATCACAACTGGTTTAAACCCCCAAAGATTAATGCAGCACAGCATGCTGCAACTTTTCTACTGGGTTCCAGTCTATAAGGCTTTAATATAGCAATTAAAGGGCCCATATCTTACTTTTTTTTCTGGAATTTTTTCTCTGAAGTCCACTTATGACATTTATGTAGTTTTGTGTACCAAAAACAGCCATAATTTAATTTTCCAACCTCTCTTTATCACTTTCCAAAATTATACAGGCTGTTTTTGTTACTGTTCCCTTAACACTGTATGTAAATAAACTCTGTGTAGTAGTCTGTAGTCTGTGACTGTATGCCCTGTATTATGCCTCTTTTAAAAAGCTGCAACACTGCTTTTAACTTCAGCAGGGCTGAAGGTGGGCAGGGCTAAAACTGCTGGGATTAAACTATGAGAGAATAGATTAATCAGTTTTAACGACCTCAGGAAAACAAAAAGCTCCAAACAGGCTTTGCTTCCATATATAGACTGTATGGTCCGGGAAGCGGAAGGTACAGTTTGAAAACTTACATATCTACACATCCTTTCTTTCAAAAAAGTGAAGGAAATCTGGTTTTCTATGATATGGACCCTTTAACAAAATGCTCATTTTCAAAAATTCCAGTACTGAATTTTGGCTATGCCTTCATACTCCAGTAGGAACACTGCTATAGCGTAACTCTGTTTTGGTAGACACTTCATTTGGTTAAGAAAGGGCATTAAAAACAGCAGAATTAGACAGAAATACTATACAAGCTAACATTGGACAGTCTTCCATTGCCAAACACACACACACACACACACACACACACACACACACTATCTCACACACTCACCCCAACACACACATCTACACAGTCATGCCCAGACATTCTACAGTACTAATCCATCATATACTAGAGTGCTGCAGTTTTCCAATGCTGATTTGTCTGTTTTTGTACTGAATGAAATGTACTAAAATGCACAGCCCAGTCTTATGTCTTAATACTGGATTAACTGCACACATAAGCCTAAAAGCTTTACCGCTAGATCTCTGCATGTTCTTTTTCAGTATGCCAATAAAATCTTAAATCATATGTTTCTTTTCATGTGGGAACTTAAAATATCCCAGCACTGATTTCTGCTTTCATCATTTAGCATTGTTCTGGAGTTGCAGTCTGTACATCAGCCACAAGAGGACACTATAATGTTGCACAGTCATATTCACAGAGACCACAGGGTGGGATGGAAACCATTTTGGACTTTGTAGCAGCTCTGAGCTGAAAGGCCTTGGTCCTAACTGACAATGTGATTATGGCGAGATTACGTAAACAACAATCGCCACATGCTCACAAATACCCTGTTTACGCAGACATGGGCTTCTACAGTACTGAAGAGTACTGCAACAGCAGCTCCAAAAGCTACAGCACACACGACCAATCTTTTCTGTACTTGAGGTGCACAATGCATAATAAGCATGAGCAGAGGCTAACCAATGTCAAGTAAAATTTCTGCTTTGTGTTTTTGTTTTTTTTAATTCTATCCATTTTATGAGTGAGTGCAATCTAGTTTTGTTTAAATAAAGCTTTGGAGAAATGTCCTATAGATTAAGAATCTGGACCTTTAGATTTGTCACACTGAATTTGCAGTCTTCACTAGGGAGCTGTAGTACTTCATGGAAGAGACAAACTGCTTTCGTCTTTATCAGGGAGAAATCCCCTCTGCCTCGCTCTCATCACCTCCTAAGTAGATTGGGCTCTTATTCTTGTTGCTTGAGCCGTATTTGCGCTGGTTACTGTTCAGGGCCTCTGTGCTGTTCCAGATGCCATAAAAGAAGTAGATCAGGAAACCTGAGAGAAAAGCAAAAGAGCATGGAGGTTAGGAATTAAGGAAGAATTTGGAGATGGAATTCCAACATATTGCATTAATGAAATCATTGAGAAGTAAACAAAGCCATTCATGGTTGTTTGCTGACAGAGTCAGAATTGTTCACAGTGGTGGTGATGGGAACCAGACATGTGAAGAGTTTAATGCCCCTGAAAGCCCCCTCACAGAAAGTTATTACACAAAATGTTCGTGAAGATGCCACCTGATGCCAAAAACACTGTTTTACAATAATTTTCAGATAAAATTGTTGCCCTTTTTAACATATTTCTTTAAATCCATTCATGGCGGAGGGGTATATTTAGGTATTTGTAAGGCAATAGTCACCAGGCATTTTTTTTAGATTTACCACAATTTTATCATTGTCAACATTAAATATAAAAACTCAGAAGATATCTAAAGGTTTACTGGTCATTTTGGACAGTAAATAAAATAGAAATATTGGTGCTGTAGCCATCAAACCCTAGTTCCTGTCACCTCCATTGTTAAAAATGGAGTTAGTAAGTTTCTTTACAATACAATTTCACATCAAACCACTCTGAATGACTTTGTTTACATCTCAACAATTGAATTGTGCAGAAATTTTGATTTCTCCTTAAATGTATTGAAGTAACTGCCACTATGAAAATGTATTTATATTTTATGAGTAAATTCCAAAAAATACAGAGAATATTTCAATTCATTATTTTTTGTACAGGTGAAGCAGGAATGAATTGCTTTGAATTAAACTCAATTGAGTTGAATTGTTTATTGTTTTATTGGATTGCACCACGTTTTGGTCAATCTGTTGTTTATATAACTTGACTACTCACCAATGCCCATCCACACTGCAAAGCGGCACCATGTAGCCAGGTCCAGCTGCATCATGAGGTAGATGTTGACAAAAACACTGAACAGAGGCAGCCAGGGCAGCAAAGGCACCTGCAGCAGAACAAGATTAACTCAGTTCTATTACTAAATAACAGGACCATAACAGACGAAATGGTTAAGCTGATTTGGTGGGGAAGTCGTTAAGTGGGGGGAAGATTTGTCAACATGTTGTTACAAATCCTTTTTTATGGCTATATTTCACATGCAAATGAAAACAGCCTGATGAAGTACCTTGAAGGTGAGAGCCTCCTTGCTCTCAGGCTGCCTCCAGATGATGATGACACAGAAGAAGCAGAGCGATGCCAAAACGATACACACAGTTACCCATACGGGCTGGCCCACCATCAGCTCATCCAGATTCACAGCCAGCACCACACACAGCAAAGTAATCAACACCGCTGTGGAGGAGACAGTACACAAAGATTACTCATGGCTCCTGATGGATTTGTCTGGATCAAATGACCTCAAGATCTAACAGACCATTTATAGCACAAGCAAGACTGACTTTAAACAAACAAATGATTATCCTACCCTGTGCAAAGAAACCAAAAAGCACCCTCAATTTGCCTTTGCATACTGTTGATAACCTTTGTTAAATTGCCTATTAAAGGTATGAATTCATAAATCCAAACTCAAAATTCTTACAGATAATTGCGGTCGTGGCATAGACAATAGTTCCAGACATCTTGGTTGGAACGTCCCTGGAGGGAACCAAGAGCAGTTTTGCGGAAAATTTCTCCCTTGGAATATGATCCTCTGAGTCTGGACCATATTCATCTCCACTGTCTCCAGAAACAGCCACCTTTTCTCCTCCGACCAGCTCCACCAGCTTCTCACTCTGACTGGAGGAGTTCAGAGTGCCTGGCTGGTACCTAAACACACCCACACAAGTCAGCCAATTTGGACACGTAACTCTGCATATTTATGATGTGCAGATTATATTATGTAATCTCTGGCATACCTGAGAATGAGAACGCACACAGCGACCAAAGAGTATGCCAGCAATGTCCCGATGGACATGAGGTCAACCAGCGCAGCCAGGTCAAAGAGGAAAGCCATGAGTGCTACAGGAGATAAAAGCTCAATTTAATGAAATGCACATTTCAAATTTTATGAATTTACTGTGTCTTAATGTACTGTAAGGCAAAGTAAGGCAATGTATTGTAATGCATTGTAACCTTGCATTGTATTGTAGTGTGATGTTTTAGGAAGTTCAAATTTATACTGTGCTGAGTTTTAATTGATAGTGTATTTTGAAGTAGTTTTAATTGGTAAGGTGTATTCTTGAATTACATTTTGTACTGGGTGTTATTGTTTGTTGGCATGCAATTGAGCTGTTTGGGGAAAATTTCCATCATGATGATAGACAATAAAGTGAATCTTAAAGGTCCCATACCCTACATTTTCCTTGTATTTTGTTTTTTTCCCTGAGGTTTACTTATGATATTTGTGTTGTTTTATGTACCAAAAACGGTCAGAAAAAAATTAAGATGACAATTATTTAACCTTGCTTTAGCCCTTAAAATTAAAACAGGCTGTATTTGTTACTGACATATGTAAATGACCTCTGTTCTGACTGGATGCCCTGCATTGTGTCTCATCCAAAAAGCAGTGCGGGCTCAAACACTACTTTTACCTTCATTGTGAAAAGGTGGGGGCTAAACTGCTGTAGGCTAAATAGGAAAGTGTGTGTAAATGTGTTTGTTCTCATGGCATCACAAAAACAAGGAATTCGAAACAGGCTATTGTTGCAGCTTAGTTTCCATATATATATTGGGGGGTGAATGGTATGTTTTGAAACTTCAATATGTTTACATACAACAAAGACAATTCAGTTTTCCATGATCTGCAGATGGAAACAGATGTTAAGACATTGAACACACAAAGTTCCTCTCACCTGCTACAAAGCCAGACACCACAGTGGCCAGCAGTGGAGTTTTGGTGCGCTTGTTCATGCTAGAGAGAGCACGAAACAGTAGCCCGTCCTCTGCCATGGCGTAGATCACTCGTGGCATGGGGAACATGGAGCCCAACAGACTGAAGAACAAAAAACACCCCCCACACATTGCAGTGAACTTTGCTGATCCAGAATAGGCATAACAGTATGAAACAGTCACACCAATATTTTCGGGCAATATTTGCATGAGGACACTGTCTAACCTTGGACAGAGGTGTCCTATTCTGACACCAGAGGTTTGCGGTTCAGCACAGTATACTGATTTCCAGGCTCAAACACACCTACTAAACCTGGTAACGACCTGTTGAGTTAAATCAGGTGTTTTTGCACAAGGACATGATCAAACTGCTGAACTTAAACCCTCCAGCACTGAAACTGGACGCCCCTGCCCAAGGACTTACAAACTTATAAAGACCAGTGCATTCTCTCTCACCTGGTTGAAAGGGCACAGAGTGAACCCACAGCCACTATGTAGCGGGCTGGTGCCCAACCCACATAACTGAAAGCCTCAGGCAGGGGGCTTTGAGTGTTGAGCTTGTAATAGGGCATCATGAGGGTAAGCGCAGCCGACACACCAAAATAGGCAAAGAAACAGATGAGCAGAGAGGCCACTATTCCCACTGGGATGGAACGCATTGGGTTCTTGGCTTCCTCACCTAAATCAAAATAGGGTCAATGTTAACCACATGCATATGTACACAGTCATGTAAGCAAATAAAGTGACATACATACATAGATGCAGCAAAGAAGGAGGGCAGTGTTTGTCTGGATGCTAAAATGATGAGGACAAAGTGACTTACTCGTGGTAGCAATGCAGTCGAAACCCACAAAGGCATAGAAACAGGTGGCAGCACCAGACAGGATGCCACTGAAGCCAAATGGTGCGAAACCTCCACTGCCAAATGAGTTCTCCACTTTCCTGAGAAAATGAGAGTACATTCTAAAACCGTAAACATAAAATTCTAATGACAAACTAATAACACTGTTGGTAGTTCATACAAAGTGTTACAATAAAAAAAGATTTTTAATGTGTTTATGAGGAGAACTCACTCTGGTGATGTGACGTTGGTATCATTGATAAAATTGTCGAGGGTGAGGTTCCAGTTCGCTGTATCACCCTTTACAAAACCAGACATGATGACAAAGCCCAACACCACCAGATTGATGCCAGTGAAGATCTTGTTTACTAGCGCAGACTCACTCACTCCAAATGCAAGTAGACCTAAAGAATACACAGAGAGTACAGATCATTATCTCCTACTGGCTTACTCAAGAAAATATAACTTTTATGTTCTACACAAAGTTATATGTACAATGTAATTACAATATAAGATGAGTGAAGAAATTACATGCAGTTTAATGGTTTGCTCACCAGTCAGTAGCAGAATGAGAACAAGTGCGAAGAGGTCTGGGTACTCAGCAAGCACATTGCCTGGAACTTTCATGGCCATAAAAGATTTGAAGAAGCTGGAAATCTTTTGCTCTATCAGGTTATCAAACGTGGAGCTCCATGCTCGAGCCACACTGGCAGTACCTAAAGAAAGAAAGTTCATTAGCTACAACTGTTAACACTAGGACTGAATAATATGGATAAAGTTTAGTTATGTGATTACATTCCTACACGGTTTGATTGTGATAGGCCTTACACTATATTAAAAATGTCTCTTTGAATATATGGATTTCCGACTCGTCACAACATCTGTTTATTTCACTGGGTATTCAAATAAGGCACTTAATAAGTGAATGTTAAATCTTATATTTTTTGTTGTTTTTAGACGTGAAGTGCCTCATGAACTTGGTTAAAGTGAAGGTTTAGATCACGGAAAAAGCCACAAGGAAAGAGTGATGCTTTGCATCACTGTGTGCCCCTTTTAATTTATAACAATATCAAATATCTTCTCACTGGAATTTATTAAAATGGGACAAAATGGAAACTGGATATTGTTAAAGCAGGACAAAATGTAGTTGGGTGGTGTTCAATATACTTTGGAAGGCTGTATTGGAAAATGTGATAATGAGACACGGTTACAGACTGACCAAAGTTATTTTGACCAAAACAATTTTCTTTAGTAGAACAACATGAATAAGTGATGCTTCTGAACAACAACAGAAACACTCATATGAGTGTATTTCTTTGCACCGATTCCTAATATATCAGAGATGTATTCCCTTGAAGCTTAAACCCTCCAGTGGTTGTAGCAGTTCCACATAAACTCACCGATAACGTAGGAGAGAATGAGGTTCCAGCCAGTAATGAAGGCCCAGATTTCTCCCACCGTCACGTAGCTGTAGAGGTATGCTGAGCCTGTCTTAGGAACTCGAGCGCCGAACTCTGCATAGCAAAGTCCTGCCAGCATAGACGAGAGGGCTGCCACTAGGAAGCAAAGAACGATAGCAGGGCCAGCCTTCTCCCTTGCCACTTCTCCAGCCAGCACATACACCCCAGCTCCAAGTGTGGAGCCCACGCCCAGGGCAACCAGGTCAAGAGTGGACAAGCAACGGGCAAAGCGGGTTTCCTCCCCCGAGCAGTCCAGTACACGGCGACGCAGCAGCATACGCCCTACGGAGGCCATTTTATCCACCATGACTGAATGTAGTATTAGAACTAAGTTGAGATGTTCAGGAAAAGCTGGAGTTCTCTGTTGTCAAAGTGATGAATCTCAAGCAGAGGTTTCACAGAGGTACACACCTGGTTAAGAAAAATTGACACACAAGAGGCAGACAGGATTAATTTGGGTGGGTGTGTGTAGGTGTGTGAGAGGGTTTCCTGTATTACAGTACGTGATTTAGCTGTACTCTATTTAAAAAAAATGCATTCTTGACTTTTTACATAACTGCTCCAGTCAGTACATGACTGGCTGACGATCATCATCGTCTGCCGCACCTCTAGCACATTAATTCCAGGCTGTCTTTAGGGCTTTTCAGAATTCCAACCACAAATGGAGCAGCATTTCATGCTGTAGACCAGGGAAGGTGCTAATCGTTTCCACAGGACAATGAGTTCTCTGTCCTCAGCTTTCATTTTCCTAATCAAATGTTTGGCCTTTATTAAAAGCAGACAGTGAGACAATGATGATTAGGCGAGCTCCACCACCCTGTGTCATTTTACCCAAGGTTCATAAATAAAAATCAGTAAGCCCCAGGTACCAACAATCCGCAACATAACTGCACATATGTAGCATTTATGTTATTTGTGGATTTTTTGTAAAATATGCCCCAAGATACATGTCTTATACATCTTGTATCTGTTGAATAAAACTATTCTGATTCTGAAAAAGGTTAAGAGTTGGTGATATGGTGGAAATATCCCATCACAATACCTGAAGACATTTTAACAACTAACTGATAATATTCATCATAATATTTAATGCAGCAGCAAAACAGCCCATTTTAAAAATACTATTAAAAACTACAAATATACTTATTTAAAAATTTACATACTGCAATGCACTAAATCCCATTAAACAGGACTAAATATGCTCTATTTGTCAAAAAAAATAGTTGTTCAGTGTCTTTTAAGTACAGACAATACCCCAATATGCTTAGAAAATGACATAATTTTTCAAAATAACAACAAACTATCATCACATTGTCCACTCCTACATCAAACACCATTAAGATACAAGATGTAAAAAAGAGAAACCAATACATATATGCTCGTATTCACAAAGCCTAAAAAGATGCACCACCAAGTCATGGTCAGTAGTCGATGTGATCCACAAAGGAAAGTCTTGCAATGTCATCAGAGTAACTGATAACAGAGTGAAACTCTACACTGTTCGGTGTAAGCCTTCACCATGGATATCTGACCAGCTGGAACCATCACGCCTATAACAACACTTCAGGCTTTGATACTGTTATCAGAGGCTGTGTAAAAACAGTCTAAAATGATAACATAAACCAAGGCAGCCAAATGAATACTTTTCATGGAGAGTTCAAGGATGGGAATTGCACACAAGGGGAAGTCAGCACAGCTGCCTGATTCCCCGTACTGTCAGTATATCAATTCACACGACCCTCTAAGAGACTGAGCAGCCTGGGGTTCACTAATATTGACATTACAGAAAGAGTGTCTGGTTCCTTAACAAGGCCATCCTGTTCTTATTGGTGGCATTTACAATGTCAGTATACCTTATTCCTGCGTCATTGTTCCAGCCTAGGCATGGAAAAGGACACCGTTCAACCTTGTATGGCAGCAACTGAGCCAGTCCAACTAAGATTACGCAGAATTTTGACAAAGAGCTCCGAACCGGGACTGTGAGAAATGAAAATGGTGAGAAAGGGTGGGGAGATATTCATTCATGTCAAAACAGAGACAAAACAGTGCTGCAATTCCCCAAATCTGACTTCCTGCCTAATGATGGAGATCAATTACTCAGACAAAAACCTAACATGACCTGTTCCACAGTAAGGATGTGAAAACTTAAACAGCTTCAATCGTACGCTAAAAATGGGTTCATAAAAAGTTGTGGAATGTCTTGTACTTTGTCCGTGGATCAAAGACATGTCGGACAAAGAAGAAAGTTGGAAAAAAGCAAGAAAAACATCCCTTAAATTCCACATACAATGGAGAGGCTGAAATAGAACCTTTTATCTGTAAGATGGGCTGTTTCTCTTGGCAGAGCATTTGGCGAGACTTAAAGGTTTGATCGCGATCAGTCTGGGCAAGAACTGAACGCTTAAGCCACCACTAGGGCCTTACACAACACATACAATGACTGCCTTCATTCACTGCCCAGTGGCGCAGCCTGCACTCTTCCAGAGAGCATGCAGTGCTTACAAAAAGCATGCAGCGCGATTTCCGCACTGTAAATAAAGCAAATATTCTAAAAAAAGCTCTCATGGTTGTATGTAAGTCCTGCTGTTCGAAGCTGTCTTCCTCCCTTTGCATAGGTGGCTACCAGAAAGCAGAAGGTTAAGGAGTGCAAAGCCACCCATAGCCTTGAGAACGTTCCTCCTGGTGAGAGTCTACCAGCGCTAATCGCTTAGCGTGTGTGAGGTTCTCAGAAGGGTTAGAGTGTTTTGTTCTGGGGATACAGTGAGTGCACGGCTAAGATAGGCCACCCTGCGTCACCTGGACCCAACTGTGCTAATCTCTTTCTTGTGGTCTCCACGAGGGCGTCTAGGTGATATGCATGTGTCTAATTCTTTTACGTCTGGACCAGACCATGAGAAAGTTGTGCTAATGTCTGCGTTACTCTTAGCAATCACAGCTGAAGTACCTTGCTTTGTTTCACCAACAATACTTTCCCAACAACCCAATAAATATAAACACACCCAACGTACAGAAGCCTTGTGTCTGAAACTTTTTTCCAGTGACCCGTTAACTATAAACAACTACAATGCTGAACTTTGAAACAAGCAGATCAGGCAGAAATAGGGAAAGATGAAGAGGATGATGAGGACCATGGAGTGACTCACTGGGCTTTTCTCAAAATAAATGCAGCTATGCACCTTAAGCAGATTACGCAAAGACCAACCTGCTAACCTGCTTAGACAGAAGACTTCAATTAGAAGTGTGTTTTTGTTTTGTTTCCGTTTCCATATCACATTACAGCTATTTTTACAGCTCCTACTAGAGATATTTTAACAGTTTGAACCTGCTTCAACTGATGTGAACTAAAGATTCAATTAAAGATTCACCTAAAGAGATAAAGATTACAAAATAAAATTCTAATTCTCTGCGTCCAGTGTGACGGGTTTCATCTGACAACAAAGAAACGTAAGCCTGCCCTGCACCTTCTGTGGTCGGTGGCTAGAAATCTGCTGGGCCTCAGTCAAACACTGTATGGATGTACATAAAAGGCCTATTCAGCCTTATTACAGTCACTCAGTGTGACAGGATTTGCTAAATCCTCACAGTAACTGGCTTTCTCAGGGTCCACTTCTTGCCAAATTAGGGTCAGTAATGTTTCGGTACAACCATTTCACTGATGCTCTGTGAACCCAGCAGTTGACTTGGCTGGAAGGCAGGTATCATAGAGGACGTCAAGCAACAGTGCGTTTATTGCATTTTGCGAGCACACACAGACATTGAATAGTCCACATGCTGTGACCAAACACAATAAAAGTTGATTTTATCTTGTTACACACAGAGAATGTACACTCTTTAGACCTGGAGCAACTGCCCTGAAACTGTTTAGAGGAACCACAGGTTCCATTTGCCCTTGGTGCCATATTACGAGCACACAGCGCGTGGTCATGAGCAGACGGTGACCCCACATGGTTCAGAAAAGGCCTGATTCAGTTAAGATACATGGTGCCACTCTGCTGAGAATTAATCGAGCAACGTGTCCAGTTGGCGAGAATCAGTCCAAAAAAATGCCAGCTATAACGTTACTACATTGGCATTAGACCACCAAAGCTGCAGTGTGTGAGTCATATGAAGGGAATTCGTCACGAAGGAAACAAATGTAGTCTAATCACAGGCAGGGGTAATAGTGGAGTGTATTGATGAAGCGACCTTCACACGACAGCCGTGTCCAATACCTGAACACTACAAAAATATCACAACCATATTAAGTCATTCGGCGCTGGCCAGTTTCAGCTGGCATTCTCAGTCTGATGCAACAGCTCTTTTCCAGCCGAGACCTGCTCTGCTTCCGCCACCTTTGGTCCTCATTCAAAATGCCAGAGAAGAGCGGGAATCCACGTACGGGCTCAATACAATGCATTTTCACTTCGTTTTTTGTTTTAAAGCACGCAATTTCACTATCAAGCGTGGCAGGTGTGAGAAGCAGCTAAACTAACAAACGCTGTAAATTAGCTAGGATTGTTTTTACTGCTCGGGAGAATATCTAACATTAACAACATAACAACATTGGGAGACAAACAGTGATACTACCACACAAATGTGGAAAAAAAACACCACGCTGAAACTATCGTTACATGGAAGCCAACGTCCAAACAGACATTGTAACCTTAAATAAATAAACAGCTAACGTTATATGCGTAAACTTGGAAGAGACCGAATGATGCAAGAAGTCGGGTAACTTACTGACCGATGACTGTGAGTCTCAGAAAAAAACATGTAACTTATGCATACAGTAATTCCTAGCTAGCTAGAATGGATGCAGTTGATCTTCACTGTTACTAAACTAGTCGGGTAGGTGTCGTTATTTATTAACTTACACCGAGCTTATAGTATTACACCCAGCTATGAGTAAGACATGGAGACTGAGAGCACTCTACATTCATTCATTCATTCAGCAAGCTTTCCTGTTGCCATTTTCGTTTAGCATGCCTTAAAATAAATATGAAATGCAATTCGTACCTTCAGTCGAGCAAATTAAATAAGACTGGCGCTGAATTAGATTAGCGAGCTAGCGCCGACTGGAACGAGGCGCGAACGATTGCATCAGAATCCACAGTAGCGTTAAAGCTCCGGCGGCACCAGGAGAGGCTCTGCTGTAGTAACATTACTGGATTAAAACCTCGACTCTTTTTCAGAAAAGAATGAAGGGAAATTTAACAAAACATAAACCTGAACGCATTGATCAATCGTCGTTACCTTCTGCAGATCTTGGACCCTCGCTGTGTTTCTATCGGCCGGCGACTATTCAGTGAACCAGCCCGGGAGAAAACCAGCGCTTCGTTATACTGGTTGATGACGTTGCAACGTCCGTAAACAAACACGCCCCTTCTGCAAGCCCTCTCATTCATAAGGCCCACACGGACAGCGGGAGAGTCCTAAAATGAAGGTACAGAAAGAAGATAGATGCCTTTCTCAAACTCGTATGAAGTGTGAATGCCACAAACAGGATCCGAATGGCTTAATTATGCTGCAGTCTTTTGGTTTTATATTTGAGAGTGGATGAACATATACCATAAATCTGATATTAAAACATACTGTATCTGTGGGCCTAAAGATTGTCATTCTCAGTCCATGCCACATTGTCACTTTTTAAAGTACTAGTAAGTTTTACCTTATAGGAGTTACCTAATAGATTGCTGTACCTTGTACAGCCAAGTCTGAGTGGTCATCCACACATTTTTGACTCTGTTGTTGTACTCAGAAGTCAGCCGACTGGTGGTAGCATCTCTTATACTATGCACAAACTCAGATCCTGCTGTATTTTGGTCAGTCAATAGCTACAACAGAAGAAAAGAAATTGTCCCTGAATTGAATTCTCCTTAATTCATAAACTCAACCCTTAGGCACAATCTTACCCACTTAGAGACAATCTTTCACAGAAAGGGAGGGCGTACCTAATAAAGGGCCCACTCTGTGTACGGTTTCACTATATTTGCATAAAGAGCTTTTAGAAAATCTAACACTTGTCCATTGGTCAAAAACAGGTCATTCTTGAAGGAGGTCAACAGAGTTCAAATGTAACAAACAAAGTGGCCTCTGAGTGTAAATAACTTTAACCCCTTACTTACCTTTTACAAGTAGACCTGAATCACATACAAAGAGGCTAAGTAAACCTTGAAGGACCAAGCTGTTCCAAAAATGTAGTGAAAAGCTATTTGATGTATGGTAATGGGCTGAGCCTAGAATATCACTCAGCTTTGCCGTCTAGACAGGTCATCAAGTATTTCATGTATTGTTTCGATTATAAGCGACTGATGTCTAAATGTGACCATACATTGTACACTGTTGCTATTGTGCACTATTTCTGCTTGAGAATGACAGACGCTTCCATTTTAGAATCTGTGCAGAATACACATTTTCTCCAGGTATTTGCTTTGTGTATAAAAATACACACGTTTTCCTGTTTGCTTTGTCAAGTATCTTTTCGTGACTATAAAGGTTTACTTTGTCTCAGGTTTGTGTGCTTGAATGCATGTCGGGCAGTGTTCCAACAAAAGGAAAGAAGCTTACTATTGGAAACTTTGAAATTCTCAGTAATGAGTGGGCCCAGGGGGGTGGGAGGTAAGGGGGTGTAACATGGTATCCGCTCCAGCTTTGCCGTCGAGCTCAATAAAATAAACAGCACTGTGAAATTCTGCACCCGCTGGCCCTGTGAAAAGTGAGGGACGTGTAATGTCTGACTGTGTGAAATGGTTTCCTTCGGTTGGTCTTGCTAAACTTTAATGTGAGTTTCCAAGGTGGGCTAATTCTGCTAAGCATATCCAAAAAAGGCAAAAAAAAAAAACCCAATATTTTACAGAAAATTATACAGCAGCCTCAACAACTAAATATAATATAATTTTTTCAGTAATTAGTGTGTGCACTCTTTGCCTTTATTACAGCTTCCATTCTTTTCAGGAGACTTGCTTTCAGTTTTTCAAAAGAAATCTGCAGGGATATTTTTCCACACTTCCAAAGTCAGTTAATGTTCATGTATTTATTCATTTGGAAGAACAATAACAAATGGGAAATAAAAATTATGTTGTGCCAAGTGAATGAATTTTAAATGATGAATTAGTTTATTCATGTTAACCTCTGGAACCTTAAGGCTTATTATTCAGTTACTAACAACATAATGATATCAATACGTTACTGAAAAGTCTTGACAGTCAGAAAGTCTCTTTCCCATTTTCTGTCTTTTGCGGAAACATGAAAAAATGAAACAGTAACTTAGTTATAGTTAATGCATTGAAAAATGGTTCGTGATTTTATTGTGTCAAGCAGCTGAGGGGGTGTAAGTTGAAGCATACTGTGTAAGGTTTTATAAGAGACAGTTCAGGTTTTTTCTATTACTTATAGCTCAGTTTTAGGATCACTGTTTTGCACAAGGACATGCCGCTTAGCAATCTATTCTGCAACAAAATTTTCTGAACCGAAAGGATCTGTGCAGTATAGCATTAGAGCTCTGTAGAACCAGGACATTTTTAAAATATTAAAAATTGTAAATATTTGTCTCGTTAAACCCCTATCACTAATCAATCTAAAGACTTATTACTCAGTAGCTACTGTGAAACTAATGTGTAAGGAATGTAGTTGTGAGAATGAGGAACTGTAGGAGAAGGTTCACTCTGATGAGTTTGAGTACCTAAATATGTTACCATACGTGTTCTTCTACTGACTCTGCTCTAGACTGGCGCTGTAGGGCCTATGGAAGCTCATTTCTTGTTTCATCTGCTTCCATCTCATCAAGTTGACTGAACTGCTCGTCTCCCATCAGTAAAACAATGGTGACCAGTGGAAACCAGGTCACAGCTTTACATCCTGTGATCTCATCCAGTGCATTTTCACTGTTAACAAAGCACTAGTAATCTCAGTTCTGTCCCGTGTGGGCTGGTCCCTTCATCAGGGTTTGGACAAAGAGAGCTGAAGTGTCTGGATCAAAGAAAGCCCTGTGCTCTTTGACGTCGGTGGATATGATGTGTCGGTTTGTATAGGCATCAAAAATATCCCCTTTAGCTTCCACTCCAGGGCTTAATGTGTCAATCATGCGTTATGCACAAACTCACTGCAGCCTTTCCTACACACAATGTGAAAAAGTGAGAAAGATCTTTCAATGTAGAAAAGGCAAGGGTGTGTTTTTTCCACCCATATAACATTATTATATTACTAAAATGCTTCAAAATACAATCCAAACAGGGCAAATAATGCAGTAAGTTGTATATAGTATAAAAGTTTGTTTTCTCTTTGGGTGAGAGGTGAGGGTTACTTTTGGCAGGCCAAACCAAACATGCTCACTGGCCAATTTTGGTCTGCATGCCCCACTTTGGGCAGCCCTAGGTTGGAACAAAACCTGGGAACTGTAGTAGGAAACAAAAAATGTAGCTTTATTTCATTTGTGCAGTTTCTTGTACTGATTAGTGGTAATGTCTGGTTTATTTTGCATTTTGCTCCACAATGCAGAGTGAATTTAGAGTGATGTTAAACAGAAGCTCAAGGATGAAATTACATGTCAGCGATGCTCTCCTGACTCAGATTAACACTAGGAATTTTTAATGGTGAATTACAGAGACAGTGTCATGTAATCTGTCTATATAACCACACCTAAACCTATTACTAGTAATGTTCATGAACTTTGCTTCGTCTAAACTTGTATTCAAAGGCTGTAGAATGAAAACTGTGGATCACTGCATATCACTTCATATTTAAATCACAGTACTTATCAAGAAAGGACTCACAGGGGTGATATATAATTCTGGAGATTTTCGTGATCAGCTTCTGGCTTCCCAGCATACATTTTTGTTTGGCTGCTTCTGCTCAAAAATCACTATCACACAGACGTTTCTTCTGTCCTGTAAATTAAACTACTATTTACTGCTGCTTAAACTACTGTTTACCGCTTTCCTTGCTAAATTCTGTTTTCAGAAAGAGTATTTACTGTAAATTAGACAAAGTGAATGTAATTCTCGCGAAGATTACACTAGAAAGCATTGCAATGCTATGCTCCTGTTTCATCATGCGCGGCTGCAGAGACTCGTAGTGTAGGTCAAATCATTTGATATAAACAGCGCCATCTGTCGGTATATGGGAATAAAACAGCAGAGGCAGATGGCAAACTACGGGGCATGACCTAAACCTCTGTAGCGGTGAAATCCAATACAACACAAACGTGGCTGCAGAAAATATCATTAAAAAACGGAATCTTAACTAGTCGGAGTAAAGCAAGCAGAGGGGGCTTTTATTAATGGGTAGAAATGACATGACAGTCTGTACGAAAATAACTATGACAATAACTACTGCACTTATACATGTTAATTGTATATAGTACTGAATCAGCAATATCACAAACCAACCAAAATAACAAAGAATTTCAGTAAGGATGTGAAAACATGACATCAAAAGTGACCTGGTGTCATTCAGCGGATGATAATTTCTTATTTTCACAGTGATTGAATATATACATTCCCAACAGCAGTGTTATAACACCCATAGAAAGACTAAACTAATAGGGAAATGAACAATGGTATAAAACTTTGCAATGAAAGCTTTGATATAAAATAGATTTAGTCATTTAGATCATATATAGACGACACATGGAATGTGGAACAGGAAGACAATTTCAGTTTTTGTAAGGGGTGGTCCCAATTTCTCTCTTCATGAGTGTCATGCTACATTTTCAAGAATATATCTTCTCTGGATGAAACAAGGGCCACATTTTAAAGAAAGAAAAAAAAAATGATTTCTGACACAGGTGTAGACTTTTGAGCAACACTGAAATGAATATGGGCCTCATTATAGGGCATTTTTCTTCACTGACAGCAACCCCTGATACTTTCTCAGACTGAAGGCCGAGACACATGATCCTACTCTCACTTATTAGAATGATGACTCATGCAGTGTGACATACTTGTGCAGTGTCCTCAAGCCATTATTGTTTGACCTTTAAGGGTGAACCATGGGACTGGGCTTCAGCACTAAAATAAAGCTTACAGAGTAGAAGGATTTGATTTTGAATGTTCATGTTCTAATTGCTGTTTATATGCACATAGCTTTTAAACCAGGGTTTAGCGATAAATGCATCTGTATTCTTCGAAAGCACCTGAGTGAGCGTGCCAGGCATATACACGGCCTACAGATGAGGCATTCCTCTGGGGGGTTGGGGGGCGCTTTAGTCTTGCTGTTGCATCTGAGAATACAAGCGCAAACCATATAGTGACACTGTAGTTGGTAGCAACGTTCTTTTTTCAACAATTTCCTTTTTAAGTGTTTCAACAAAAGCTAAGGCAGAATGTCAATGAGTGCATGTCCCCTTACTTTTGAATAATAACTTCACACTTATATCTAGGTCTCATACCTAGATTTTACTGAATTATGAAGTTAGTTATTACAGAACTGATGATTGTGGTGCTAGAAATTACATGTAGCCCATCAGTGCAAAAAACTGACTCACCTGTTGTAACACAATGCAACATGCAATCATGACATGCAGTCTACAACATTAAAAGTAACTGTACTACCTGGTGTTGATTGATATGAGTGACAAGCAGATGCAAAAAGAATTAGCAAAGCAACAAAACGAGGGACAAAATTACAATGCCTGCTGTAAGTATGGGTATGAGTATGCATCTCTTCACAATAATGTTAAAGAATTAGCAACCATGCAGACACTGGGTTACCCCAACAGTAGTTTACAACATTATGAGATTGATAGTAAAGAAAACCCCAAAACTTACTTCATTCATACCTAAAATGAGAGAGAGAATAAATAAGATAAGGGGGAAAATGAGACTCAGTTTGCTTTGATGTCATTAAGTCTCCAGTCAGCAGCGCTCACTATTTTGTTATACTTTATTTACAGACAAATGTCACAGGCACAGATTGATTAACACAGGAAGAGAACATAAATATAGCGTCATTCTGAGGAAAATGACTCGACTTTGGCAGGACAACTTTTACAAAGTTGGCAAATACTTTGTCCTCTAGGGAGTGGAGTTTGAATCTCTTTCATGTAATGGAACTCCTATGCTGCGTACTTGAAGCACCTCTAGTCTGACACCACATCAGAATGGGTACATTCACTTCTTCATGCTCTCCAGCTAATGGACATAAAACAATACTTGGACTTTATCAGTAGTGTGAAGAATGTAGAGCTCTTACATTTTATTAGATTTGTAGCTAGAACACTATGCAAGTATGGCCAATTATCATAAGCATTTTAGACCTCAGGAATGTGCAGATACAGCATGTATCACAATACAATACATAATAACCATGTTATACTTCTAGCAAATTCTGCTAAGGCCTTGAACCGCAGTGAATGAGAGCATAACTGGCTGGTACAGTTCTACCAACAAACATCTTTTTAAGATTATCAGGTATATTGAAATTAGAAAGTTTGTCTGAAGGAAAAGTAAGCACTTCTGAATTTCACCTGGAATATATTCTCCATTCTCATAGTATAGACTCTTAACAGCTGCCTGAGAGGACAAAGACATGAGCCAACCATCTTTGTTTAGTGCTACAGCTTTCATGTATAATCATATAATGCACACGCACGCTCTAACAAGGACATTGCATGGATGTAATAAAACAAATTACACTGTGTGTGTAAAGAGCAACTCTCAGACACGTGTACAAAACATCATCTGCCCAATATATTCAAGTCCTGCATTGTTTATGATGCATCTAGATTTACTTGGTGTAAAAATAAATGTTACTCTGCACTGTCTGCAGATGAGTGGGAATAGAAGTTGATAACAGGAGAAAGAAGACCCTCCCCGAGTCCCAGTTTGGAAAGCCCTACTGCCGTACTTTTCCAGGGATGTAGTTCCGATCAATGCTCTCCTCTTGCAGGAACATATGAAGACAGCGCTCATTCTGGGCCAAGGGGTGACCAGCAATTCTGGAAGAGAGAAAAAAAAAAAACAACACTCAATACTAAATAACTGATGCAACATGTTTCAATCCAGATATTTTACTAGTCACACTGTTTCACACACTTGTGTGTTACGTTATATCTGAACTTCAATCCTGAACTCCTCTATGTGTTCTTTTTTTTGGTAAACTATGGTGTAATTTGCCCTTTTGGGTGCTAACCTGTTAATGAACTGTTCAAGTCCAACTCGTCTCTCTTCAATAAAGGACTCCTCAAATATTCCCTCATCACCACGGAAGGGCAGCTGTCTCTTCAATGCTTTCCCAGGCAGAGGAGGCACAACAATCTACAAGACATTTTTTATATGAACATTTTAACACAAGTCACAAAAACTTAAAGGTAAAAGTATTATAAAACCAACCATAAACAACTGTACTTTACATGTTATGTAATGTAATGTAAGGGTGTAACACGTCCAGTACATATTGTACAGTCGATTCTGAAACAGTGTATTGAAATTTAACACTATCGTTCATCAATAAGGCATCTGGATGCAGCCTACCAGACTGAATTGGGCAATGTGAGGGGAGGGGCTTATGTTATTCACACCCCATGCTCAAATGACTGGGCTTTTTACAAATTAACTATAAATTCTAGGAACTGTGATTTTTGGAGTTTATTTTGTTAGAGGGTGGAGTGGCATGCAGAAAAAAGTCCTGTCGTAGAACTTTCATTTATCTGAGCCAAACCAGTCTCTTCATTCGAGTATATAATTAGAGCTCCGTAGAATCTTTATTTTTAAAGTTTTAACATGAAAAAAATCTCGAAAATCAACTTCTTGACCTCAGGATTAAAAGTTGTATTGAACTTGAAAACATTTCGAAAAATGGGTCAACTAATAAAAAAAATTGAATGTAATGCCAATCATTTTACATTACTTTCATTACCATAATTACTGTCCCTATCCTCCAACAACACTACTTTTCTCCAAGCTTATTTACAGCTGATAGCAAATCTATGCCCTACTGAAAAATGCTATTAACTGTGTGAAGGACCATACCTTTTCAAAAATGCCTTCCACAGACTATCACCAAAGACTTACGAATGTAAACAAAAGTTTGGAGGCTTCTTTTTTTCCTCTCCGTGAAAACATGGCCAACTATGCCGACGGGAGTGGCCTGTTCAGGACACAGCTGGGAAACTGGGATTCAAACCTGAAGGCCTGTACACTGTTTCACTGTAATGCTTTAGCCAAGGGACCACCAACATCACAAAACTTTGAAAAACTTTAAAGCAGACGAGGCCGTTTTTCACTGTGAATGTTTAATATGACTTGAATTCCATAAATGTATTAGTTTATAACAAGGATACCTCGGTTTTCCTACATGTTAGTGGGCAAGCAAATTAGACCACAAACTTTCTTCCAGCTATATTCCTATGTTGTGTACTGTAACGTATTAATGTTACCAAATTTCCTGTGATTACATATATGGGACTTTTATTATACCTAAAATATTACAAATGTAATGTACATTGTAATTTATAGGCTACCATCTTAAAATAAACAGTTACACTTGCTTCAAAATCACTGTAGCAAACTGATGTGTCTGTTTCTTACCTTACTGTCTCTTTCCAGCTCATTTTTCAGCCACTCAAAGTCGCTGTACCTTCTTCGAACACAAGACTCCTTCAACTTGAAAATGGGGAGGTTTGTCTGTTTACAAAACACAAAGGCCAGTTAACCAAATAAACAAATGGCTTTCATTAATACTGGAAGGCTTGAGTTTAACGTTATAAGCAGATTTTGTCTGATAGATCCGCATGCAACGTCTTTTTTTTACTAGCATTTGTATCTCCGTGATACAACAATTATGGCTTGTTAGCTAGCTAGCTAAATGGCTTAGTTAAACGTTAAAATATATACACAAGGATAGCCATAAAAATATCCTGGACAAGAAACTACTGCATCTGCTTCAGAGCAATCAGCACAGATTCTGCTACTAATCTCCTGTTATGGTTACTGCAAAGTCACCCAGCTAATTAATTAATTAATCAAAATCTTATTACGGCGCTAGCTAATGTTAGCCAAGTTGGGTATCTAAGTTAGCTGGGCTGTCACAATTCAACCGTGCGCAGCTAGCTTAGCTATCCGAATGAATCAGGCTATCCGCAAAACCAGCACAACATGCGCAATGAACTGACCACGAACATTTATGGTAGAAGAAATAAAACCGCCACACGCATGACTAACGTTAACTAACGAGCGCGAAACATATCCATCAGACAGGCTATGTTAGCTGAGGTTAGCGAGCTAGCGTTAAGTAGGCCGAGCCAAATTCCAGATCTCTCTACTGGAAACTCTGCTAACGGCTCACTGACCTCAGCCAACACAACCAGCTTTCAGCTCACTTTAAGCGTCGGCAGTGACCTACCCTCATTCGGACTTCGTAAGTAGTGAAACGATTCCGCCCAACTCCAATAGTTTGGGGGTCGTAGACGTCAATTTCCAGAAAATTACTCGGAGGTCCGTAAGCATCCGTGAGGTCTTGGGGCTTTGAGTTTAACCGGCGAGTGTCGGCCACCGTGGGTTCAGACATTTTTATTTCTGGCTAGCTAGCTACTTCTGGATGTAGTCTAGGGCACGCACAGAAGATATTACGTGATTAAGACATTAAATCTGAAAAGATGACACTGACTAGATACTTTACAAGCCTCAACTAAAATTCTGCAGCTCAGCAATACCACAGGAAATCCCGTCGATCTCAACCCTGTGCGATATTTGCAGCGTTCTAAAAATCGTGTGACCAGCCCTGTATCCACCGCAACCAATCAGATGGCTGAATTCGCCGTTATTGACAGGCAATGACCCAATAGAATTTGGAAACATGGCTAAAGGGGGCGGGCTTTGTTTAGGCTTGTCGTTGAGAGACGGGAAGACGCGAAGGGATTGCAAGAATTTAAGGAGGAAAACAATATTTGGAAGTAACGTTAAACGTTTTTGGGCTTTATTGTTACATATTCTACTGTGATATTTCATATCAAACTGCCAAACTTTGAATCCAGTGTACTTTTCATCTTCTCATATGCAAAAATGTAAGAGTGGCTTATTTTCAATGAATCAACCCGTGGCCTGTTTTTCCTAAGAATATCAAGAAATGTCAGAAGGAAGGACTTAAGCATCCTTTAGCTGTACGAATGAGCTGAATGGTGTATTAGAGACAAGGACAGTAAAAAACTAACTAAGGTATTCAGAGGTAGACCTTAAATAATATGTTGGTTTGAGAAGTAATAATAATAAATAATAATAATAATATAATAATATATGGACATAAAATAAGTGTTCCTAAACAAAAGTGAGTAATCTGTCAGCCTCTTCTGATTGACAGAACTCACCATCTTATATCCTTTTTGTGTTTTAGTAAATATTCTCTTACTGCAACACCCAGCATGCATTACACAATTATGTCATTTAACTATTGAGAACCCTTCCCTCATGTGTCCACCCCATAGCACTTAAATAAAGTTTTTCAAAAGTTCCTCCCACCTTCAAGAAAGATCATCAGAAGGGAGTTTTTTTCTAGTTTTTCTAGTCTTTAAACAGGAAAATCTCACTGTAGAGGCTGCTGTAGTGCAACTGTAAGAGATAAGTGGGCATGTTTACAATGGTTTATTGTATACACTTGGCTGGATTGTCCCTTTAAGAATGACATACACTATAAAAAGCAAACACTTTTCTGTAATGGTGGTACTATGCAGGGCTGTATGTGGCCTGCAAAGCAAGGACACCGCCCTTGACTGACTGTAAGAGATTGCAGCATGCAACATATCACACAGGGAGCTCAGACTAGCGTACACTTGAAATTTTGATGGGCTTGTTCTGCAACCCCTACTATCCCTTCCTAGTTAACTGGGTGCTATTATCTTTAAATTCTTTTTATGGTGAGAGGGATGCTCTACTATAACATTAGGTATCAACTTGTCTGTGTCAGAATTAGAGAGATGGGGATACCAGAGACCAGGAATGAGTCATTTCACTTCCAAAGTACAACAATCACTCAGTAGCAATGTGAGGCTTAAACACCAGTATGGTTTTAATGTGAAAAAAGACTGTGAGGTGAATCATAAAAGGAAAGAATAATGCAGCAATAAACAAAGACAACAAGGCAAATGATGTTTTCAGCAAATGTCTTAAAACATTAAAAGTAATAAAAAATAACAAAATAATGTTAGTTTTATGATTTTATAGTACATTTCATAGTATTTGGTTGAAATGATAAGAGGAATTATCACACAAGTGCTTGGAACCAGTGTACAAGTGGTATGCAGGCAGTACTTACATATGGAAGATACAATAAACAATGAAAATAGTGAAACAAATACATAATAATTCAAGTTTCATTTATGTATGTATTGTGTCAAATAAAAAAAAACCCTACCATGTAACAGGAAAGAGTGTATTGTGTGTATACTGGAAAAGAAAGTAATGTACAACAAACATTCAGCAGGATCAATAAATACAAAACATTGAGTTTTAGGCTCTAAAAGACTGCTGAGGTAAAAAGAAAACAGCACTGTCTTCTTAGGCATCTAGCTATTATAAGGTTATAAGAAATGGTTCAGGCATGTTGAGACATGCTGTTGCTTATCAGTGTCTCAGCAGCAGGTATAAAATGATTATCGATTAAACCTGTAAATCTGAAAACAGCATTACTGCAAGTCTGAATTTTCTCATCAGTGACTGGTACTTGGCACAGGACATTATGATGAGATATGATGAATATTTTACCTTAGAATTGAGTATGCAGGTCAAGTAGGTGCACGACAATCATTACTGAAGTAGTAAATGCATTTGTAAAGATATTATTATGTATGCAAAGCAAATAAGGAGCTTAATTGTTGTCTGAAGTGCCATTCATACTTTAACACTGCATGGTGGAATATAAATGAAACTACCGCGCATCATTGAGTTGTCTGGCCACAGTCAGAATCTCTTTGGCCCCTTTACTCAGCAGCAGATTGGCGAGGTCCACTCCCAGCTTCTCTGCAGCATCCTGAGCAGCTCCTGAGACTTTCAGTGCTGTAATCCCCACACGCTGAACTTTCTCATCAACCTGCTCCTGCTCCTACCATGTAAAAATATGTAAAAACAAACAAAATTGGAATCATATTTGACTTCATGTGCTTCGCTGAAATTGTATGTTCACTATTAAAATGTTTTTATTAAGTCCTGAACTTGAAACACTAGAGTACTCTTTCTACATTAACTGCTGTTTTCACTATGTAATTAAAAATAAAAAAAAATCGGAATAACAGAAAACACGTGATCTATCCAAGTCACAAGTATTGAACATTTTTTGATAAGTACTACTGCCTATTTAGACACATTCTACTGATATTATCTAAAGTGCACTTTTACGCATATCATTCATCACAGTGTGATCATAATGCTGATACTAACCCGATTGTCTAAAGCAATGCTGGTCTGCATCGTCTCCTTCAGACTATCCGAGCCATCTAAACTGTACACTGCTCCAGTTAGATAGAGCTGGGAAAACACATAAAAAATCCTCAATAAAGAGCACAAAGAGCTTTTAGATCTTTTATTGTGAGCTGTTTATTTATGGGCAATCATTTTTATGGGTTACAAACCTGATTTTCCACTGATGACATATGTGTGGGTTACATCATTATTTCTATTACCAACTCATTTAGTCTTCTTATTTATTAAAGGAAAAAATGGTATTCCATGATATGGGCCCTTTAAAGTGTGCTCTACCTGGGAATTCTTTACTTCTGTGTGAACAGCCACTGGAACGCTGCACCCTCCTTCCTGAAATAAACGGCAACACAGTAGTACTGGAAAAAATCCACAACTAGTGTGGAATCATGCTTAAAGAGAGAGTAGGCAAGTGAGATTTTAGTATAAACAGTAGAATCCTTACCAGGTGTCTGAGAAAAGCTCTCTCTGCGATGCAGCGCAGCACTGTGTCAGGATCATGCAGCACTGACACCATCTCCAGAATGTCCTGATCCCGTGCCCTCACTTCCACAGCCAGAGCCCCCTGATACACAACACAGCATGACCTCCAGCTCAAAACCTCACCCTTTTGTTACTGAGCTAACCACATAAAGCCAGCCCATATGTGCTTATAGGCACATAACTGCACCCCTACAGAAAACGCTGGATTTTATAGTGACAGTTTGGCAAAAACTCAAATTTACATAATCTTTCCTACCCCAATTGCAGTCAGCCAGAATATGTTTGGTGTCTAAAGTTAGCTTTTTTTTAGTTTTGCTACAGAGCTATCAGGCCAATGTAGCTAACAAGTAATAGAACTGTATAGCCGCTAGATCAGCACTGTGCAATCTATATGCCTGGAAAATTGTGTACATTTGATTTTTCTCCAGACTATCACTTTAAGGAATCATTAGCATTAAGAAACATCGACAAACCCACCTGTCCAACGGCATACATGCAATCTTCAGGACCAAGGACCTGAGATAGCAACAAAGCATGCAAGTAAATACAATGGCATAGTAGTACTCAACATTTCTAAGGTATAACACATGAACCTTATCACATTTGGAGTTTAAACTGCATCTAGCTGAACTGCAATTAATCAAAAGTGTCAGAGTGGCACTAATAGGAGGGGACCATGTTCTGAATTAGATGTACCTGACTAATGCGGGTTTCCCAACCCATTCTCTGAAGCCCAGCTGCAGCCAGGATAATGGCAGAGAAGTCATTGTTCTCATCCAACTTCTTCATACGAGTGTTGAGATTACCTCTCTAAGACACTTTACTAAGGAACAATCTGATATCATATATTTAAGATAAAAAAAAAAACAGGTTAACAACACGACTGAAACTGAAACTGAAAACAAAGCATCAAAAGGATACAATATCCTTAAACTCCAGGTGAGGAAATCTTTTCTTTAACTGTGCAGCCCGGCGAAGGGAACTGGTGCCTATGATACTGAAAAAAAGGAATATAAATACTTTTAGTACAGCATACTTCTACAAAAATTACAACAAAACATCAACAAAAATCTCTAATATCATACCTCTTGTTTGGTAGTAAATCCAGAGATTTCCCTGCATGTTTGGGGTGCAAAACTACTGCATCTTGTGGATTTTCTCGCCTTTATAGACAATAAAAAGTATCATTGTATAAATATATATTAAATGTACAAAATATTCATTAACACCACAGTGACAAATGATTACTGAGTGTCTGTTGGCTCAGCAGCTGTTTAGTGTTCAAACAAACATTGCTTGCTAAAAGTCTAGTCACAGGTTGACAAACATCTGAAGAGGCTTTGAACCAGTACATCTGTTTCTTAATACAGAGGCTCCACTGTTGTTCTACTTACTTGAGCACAGCTCCTATAGTAAAACCCAGAGGAAGAACCGTGGGTAAATCTTTCAAAGAGTGCACAACCAGGTCTACCCTGTGGAGACACAAGGGTCAAAAGCATCTTTCACACAGCGACACAAGCACCAGCATTTAACAATGGACCTCTGTGCAGATCAAAAACAGTCCGTGGAAATTAGTGGAGTAATACTAGAGGGATGTAAACAAAATTATTATCACTTACTCATTTCTTTCCAAAGCATTCTCCAACTCCTTTGTGAAGAGACTCTTTTCACCTATCTTTGACACAGAAGATTAACACTGTTAGGCCATGCTTTACTCTTTGTTTTTAATCTTTAAATCATAAAACCTATCTGACCCTATCTATCTTTAAAGACCTTCTAAAGCTTCAGCAATATTTCTGATCAGTTTGAACATATAAAATGATGTTTTCATTTTATT